CCCCCCACCACTACCCCCAGTTCCGCGCATGCGCAGGACACCCCTCACCCCCCCCAACCCCGCGCATGCGCAGGGGCCGCGGGCGGGAACTAACGGCCGCGCGAGGAGGGCTGTGTGGGGAAGGGTCGCGAATTCCCTAACGAGGGAATTAACCTGTTTCGTCACGGGTGGCATGGGCGACAGCGGCTTAGAAGCGAGCTGGGAAACGCACCAGGCGCTCGGCGGGAAGCAGCATCAGCGTTTTAGGTACTGGGGGGGTCTACAGATAGAAACGGGCAGGGCTTGGAGAGAGGCAATATTTAGTATCAAGCTGCCTGTGAGGAAAAAATAAAATACTACTAATAGGGGAAAACAACAACAAGCTTTGGGGCTCTCAAATCAGTCTTTAGACCTGACAGCAAAAAAAAAAAAAAAAAAAAAAAAAAGCACTCATTTCTACCTGAAACCTTCTCTACTCCCCCCGCCTTTTTCTTGCCTTTCTTGGTTTACCTAATAAATAGCAGGACCTCTCACCACAAACCGTTTCCCCTCAGTAGCTCAGATGTTCTCCCGCCTGCAGATTTCTCCTCGCAGTTGCAGCCACAGTGCCCTGTGTGGTCGTGTACAGCCACACTGTGACCGAAACGGGTTCCACAGCCCACAACGACGCAGTCCCAGCTGCTTCGCCCGACCGCTATCGCAGCACCTGCAGGTCCACGAGCAGCTGAGCCAACGCAGCCACTTCTGCAGCCCAAAGAGGAGGTGCTAACGCCTTAATTCAACATTCAAAGCGCTCGAAAGACGTGTCCGGAACACAGCATTTCAACAAAAGTCAAAGTCATTGTTCCAAAGATTGCAACATCCAAAGAGCAGAACAGGGAAAGCCTGAAGGCTCCGGTGCTTTCTTATGGCAGGACAAGCAAACACAACCTGTGCATGACCTCAGAAACACAGAAAGCCGTGAGCTTCACAGCCTGAACACAAACTCCTTTTTCTTWCTGCTTTAGTAGGAAAAAAAATAGATCCGTGACAAAAGAATCTCAAGCAGCATGACAAAGTATGTGCAATATGCAGAGGACAAACGRGTGCCTCAATATTTACCGCATTTAAGGAAGCTAAAAATGAGACAGGGATATGAAATAAGAACAAGTGCAGGGAGAAACTTTTGCTCTTTAGGGACAGGCAGACACTGGGTCTGAGAGGAGACACACCTCCACACACCTCCGCTTCCCGCTGGCGCCTCGGCCGCCTATCAGCACCTGCCCCGTCGCACCGGGACGGAGGGGCGCCCGGGAGAGGCCTCCCGCCGCCACCGTGCAGCGAACCGCGGAGCGCGAAGCCGAGCCCGCCGCCCCGCACCCGCGCGGCCCGGCCCGGGGGCTGGTGTTACCGGAGCGCCGCGGGGCCGAGGCGGCATCTGGAGAGGCGGCCCTGGGCCGGGCACGGGGAGCCGGCGGGAGGCGGCGGCGCCACCGACACACGCGGAACGGCCGCAGAGCGGCGGGGCGGGGCGGGGCGGGCCCCGCGGCCAATCAGGAGGCGGCGCTTGGCAGGAACCAGCGAGACGGAGCGGCGGGAAGGGCCCGGCGCGGGGCCGCTCTAGCGTTCGCGCTGGYTGCACTCGCTGCTCCGCGGTCCTCCAGCGCGCCGTGCTCGTGTCTAACGGGGGCCGCGGCGGGGGCTGAGTGCTCCACGCCCCCACCGCTCCCTTCCTTTCCCTTTGCTGCCGCGGGCCCGGGGGGACGGTACCGGCTGCCAGGCGCCGCGGGCGGCCCGGCCTGCCCGGCAGGCCCCGGGCTGCGGTGGCGGCCGCCGGGCCGGCCGCTCCCGAGCGGACGTGTCCCGGTCCCGCGGTCCCGCAGCGCGCTCGGGAGAACCCGGCGCGCCCTTAGCCACGACGAGCACAGCCGTCGTGCCTTCACACTGTCGGGGTTTTCCTTCAGCTTGGTCCCGCTTGTGGCCTTCCAAAATGCCCTTCTTTTAAATGATCTTCGTGGAAGCTTCTTTCCGTCTGATCTCAGAAGGCAGAAGGAGCCGCTTCAGGCCAGGAGAAAACGTTACAGCTGTGTATACTGTCCAAAAACAGCACCACCCCAATGCAGTCGTGGGGTAAACAGGGCCCCTGTGCCGGGAAATGCTGCTGCTGCTGTAGATTAATTCAAAATACAGAATTATTTAACACTGCAAATCCTTCTAGGGAAAACTAAGCCTATTTCTTTTTCATCTTTTGAATATTTCTGTGACTTGGCCAAGATTTTTAAATGCAGTTTGATGCAGGTGCTTGATGAGGTTCATACTTGTGAAAGCTGAGTAAGTGCTATATTTGTGTGAAGTGCTGTGAAAGCTGCCCSTAAACGTGGTGCAGTGTAGTCTTTTTTTTCTATTCTTTTTCTTTTTTTCCCCCAAGAATTTAAATTGTTTGGTGTAGACAGATAACTAACTCAAAGTTGTGTCTCATTCAGCACAGATTTGCCCTGTGTTGTTGACAGAGCGTATGGCAGGTGGCRGAGGGAGTCCACGAGCTGAATTCCTGCCTGGATTACTAATATCAGTTTGGGAGGTGCTTATCTGGTTAGTAATAAATCCTGACCCCTCACTGCTTGGCTATTTTTAGTAATTAGGTGGTTATTACAAAAGAGAAATACTTCTACATTKGCTTACATTACAGAAGTACACTAATCCTTTAGTATAAAGGCTTCTTGAATTGTCTAAACACGTGGCACAAGGCCAGCAAGTATCTGCGGGACAGAAGAAATGCCTTGCTAGTGTAAACTGTGATCTCCACTATTTCTTGCCTGCTGACATTGCAGTCTATGTAATGCAGTTTTCCTGAATACTGCCCACTAATAAATGTGKTTTCTCAAAGTTTCTTTGAAATTGCATTCACAAATCACAAAGAATGGTGGGGGAGAAGGAAGGAAGGCTCTTTTTACAACAAGATTGTTGTGTCCCAGCCTAGAGATACAGTCTTGAAAAGTCTCAGTAGTCCTAAAAGAGCCTCTCTTGATGGTGGGAAGGGTTTCTACAAGGAAAAGGAAATTCTATTTGTTAATTACATAAAATACATTACACTCTATTTCAAGGATCAGGGGAAAGCGTGGATAAGCCAGAGGTGAGTTTACATTGATTCTAGGATATATAATATTAAAAGATTTCCCATAATTTTAAAACATTTTGATAAAATATCTGTGAGTTGTTGTGACCCTTGTGGTGCTACAAATATGCTCATAGCAGAAATGTAAGTAAATTACTGCTTAACCAGCAGAATAAGGTTCCACAAATCTGTTGTGAAACCTCTATAGGTATGCGTGTGCATTTGACTGTTTGCACTATAAATAGGCATATATCCGAGGAATAAATCTTAGGGACTTCTCAAAAAATATTCCTTTGATGTCCCGCCAGGCAAAACCGGTTGTAGCAAAATCATGACAAATTGCTAGAATGGTTTTATAAGAGTACTACTTTAATTTTAATAATAAAGAACAGTCACTCCATTAATATTAACTTCTTTGCTCTCCTGTGTCTGTTGCTTTCTGTAAGAAGGTTAAGTATTATTGGTGAGAGCTGAACCTAGCAAAATTAGCAAGGTTTAGCAGAGAGACTCATGAGCCTGAGTCCACTGCAGGGAGCTTGGGGTCATGGTTACAAACTACCCCTTCCTTGAGAACAAACAGGCACCATGCAAGCAAAGCAGCCCTGTAGAAATACAGTTGTCTCCKTCCACCTCCAACAAAGTGCATCAGCAGAGGCATTTCTGGAAGCAACAGATATTTCCTTCTCTCCAGGTTTGCTGCTGGTTTTTCCCRTGCTTGGCTGGGATTCTGTCACCAGCTGCCCCTTCCCTATGGCAGAGGGAGAGCAGAAAGTGGAGGGAGACATTAATTTTGCTTCTTGTTGCCATCCAGTACAATTAATGTACCTGAGAGAAAGATAAAGTAGAGGTTTATAATTAATGATCCTGAGAAATTATAGCAATTTATATGAATATATGCACTAGTTGCCACCCCGTTAGCCTGTTGCCAGGGTTGTACATGACAAAAGTCTGTTCATTCTCCTAATCTATTTGATGGACGAGTTGTGTGATGTTTCCCGTGTTTTGTACAGGTTGCAGAGGTGACGGGATAGACACAGATAAAATTAAACACCTGATAGCCAGGCAGGCATCATTCCCTCATCATCTTTACAGGTAATTAACATGTGGATAGATTTTAAGTACTCTTTGGAAACTGTATTTCATTTGGAACTGGAAAATCTCCAAAATGTCAGTTTAGCAGCTTGTATCACCATGTTAGGCAAAATAAGTTACATGTAGCTTATATATAAGAGGTTTTTGACTAATACCTGGTCAAATTAACTCCTGGCTGCTCTGCAAGCAGTTTTCTGGGAGATCCAACAACCTTCTCAGTGACCACAAGAGATGGGGGCAGTGTCCACAGAATAGGCTTATTTTGGCCAACTATGAAGGGAAACTTCATATTTACCAATTATTTCACCATGCAGACCGTTCCGTTCCCGTAGCTTTGTGTATGTGGTGTGCAGAATCATCCGTTTCATCTAAGGTGATTGTCTGGTCAGCTTTCCAGTCCCTTAGTGCTACTTCTGATTGTAGAAGGAAACTTTTTTTTTTTTTTCCCCCATCTGTCTGCAAAGTAGCAAGACAAATAAAAGTGGTTTTCATTCTCTTTCAGTTTTACTAACCAAAACCAACACTTTATTCTAGGCCACTCTAAGACAAAATATTCTACTTTTCAGCTCTTTTTGCGCTTTTTTAGAGCACTGGAAGACTAGAGCTAGCAGTTCCCAGAAAAGTTCTCTCAGTCATTCTCTGATCCTAGGGGAGTCTGTAATTTTTAAACACCAGTTTAAACCTTTGCTGAAGAACTTATTTTAATCTAGAGAAAATGATTTATTAGACCTCGGTTTAGTCACTTTTTTCTTTAAACGTTTGAAGGTAGGAAAGCTGTTTTCTTGAATGGTATTATCAAGCTTATTTCCTTTCTTTTTGCATATCAGTCCCCTCTGCTGTGATTTCATATATAATAATCAATTCTTGCATTTAAAGAGAATAATTTTCTATGACTTGTAAGCCAAGAGGTAACAAAAAAAGAAAAAGAGAGAAAAAGAAAAAACTCAAAGATTTGTTTGTTGATATTAGAAGGTTCTTGGAAATATCATTTTCCAATTTAACTTCATAAACTCACCAATTTGGAATAAGCAAATACAAGATTCATAATAAGGTAGGTGCCAGACTTCTCATCTTGGCTGACACTCTTATTTTCAGCTTGGAAATGTCAAGACTTCAGAAAATATCATGAAATTTTACATTATATCTTCAATAACATCTTGAAAATTGCAGATTGCAGATTAAAAGAATTAATCGTCCAATTAATCAGGCATAAATACTGTGCCTGCCAGAAAGATAACATTCAGGTTGTTATGTGAGTTCTTGTTTGTGGTGGAGAAACCAAAAATTAAAAATGCTGAACTTGCATATGTAGAAGTTGAAGGGGCCCTCTTCTTATAAATTGTAAGTATAATTTAAATCCCTTTTAAATATGGAAAAGCTAGTTTAAGAAGGGATTAAGAGAATATTATAAATAACCTATTTGCTCCAGAATGCACAAGATGCAGAGTATCAAGGTGTAACACACATGCCAGGAGGTGTAGGGAATAGAAATCCTTTCACTTCATCACTGACCACTGCAGTTTGCATCTCCTCAACTTTCCTCATTAGTGCTCTGCTAAGAGCACTAATTGCTAAACTTACTTGTTGATTACTTGTTTCATCCTGTGTTGTGCCTGTTCCTAACGATGTTATTTCTGTCTGTGCCCTAGGCTCCTTCAAGATAAGCACCCAGTCTGGGCCCACACAGTGCATGGGAGCTGGCAGAGAAAATGCCTGCATCTAAACTGGGATTACACAAGGCAGAGGGAAATTATATACAGGGATGCAAGGAAATCAGCCTGTTAGACATGTCTGAAAGCACAGGCAGCTTCAGGCCCTGCCTAGTACAGGCTTCATGGAGAACCAAAAAATACACATTTTCTGCCTTTGAGAAGCTGCTTGAAGAAAAGAGAGCAGTAATAAAAGGGAAGASACAGAGATGCAGCAAGACGGTTTTGCTTTACAGACCATTCAATTTTATTTCCAATTTTAGCTAACTTTCTATGGATATGATTCATCTCACTTCATTGTAGCCACTTAAGTCCAAGYTTCTGGTCTAAGCTAGGGAATTGGGCTGCCCATAACCAAAAGAAAGCAGGAGAAATTGCCAAGAGTGACTTGCCTCTTAAGGCAGGTATTGCAAGAAGGTGAGCGGACAGGGAGTCACTGTCCTTCTCCATTGATTGAAAGGAAAGCATAGATAATTAGTTTAAATTATAGCTATATTTTCACACGTCAAGAATAATCCCATGCTGAGGTTTTTCTTTTTCTCATCAAAATTTTACATCACAACAAAGGATGAAAAGATTCCATTTACCCACAGATATATTTTTATCTGGCACATCCATCAGACAATCTTCAGGTGGTCTTAAGAAGCAACCTGCCCACCCAGCTTGCCCTGAGGGGCACTTGGCTTGTTGGAATTGAACCGAGTCACCACTTTGGGGCTTCAGGAAGGCTGAAATTTCCGACCTGCTGGAGAGGTGAGAGGCCGAGGGCAGCAGAGCCCACTGGGGTCCTGCTGTGGGGCCACGGCCACCCCTGCCACTTCTTCAGTGCCAGCTGCTGTGGCACTTGTGCTCTTCAAACGTCTGGGATGGCATTCACAGCGTTAATACAAAGTCCTGAGCCCCACAGTCCTCCCTTTGCTCATTTTCTCTTTCCTCATTGCTGGGTTGTGTCGATGTATACGTGTATTTGCAGCATCTGTCCTCTGTATGTGTTAAGCCTTGGGCCTAAGAATGACAACCCGTGGACCTGCAACGACTTGAAATATCACGTGCTGGTGCTGTCTACCCTGCAGCCAGCGGTGGGACAAGTGATGCCTTATAAATCCACATCCTTTAACCTGTGGAGAGATTAGAGAAGCAAGAAAGAAGTATCTTAATCCCTGCCTCGAGCAATTTAAAACCTCCCTTTTTTTTGGGACCCTACAATAAATCAAAACACAAGACTTGCTATAWTCTGCAAATAAATCTTTTTCTGATATTCATTTCTCACATAAYTTTTCTGTAGCAAAATCTGGTTTCTTTACCAAAAAGGCTGATAAAACATCAAGCATTTTATAATTTAGTAGCATTATCATAATACCTTTTTTCAGTTATATGCCATTCATTCATTGCGCACAGTATAAGCAACACACTGCACAGTAGAAGCATCCTTCTTACACAAAAGGTAGAATTAATAATTTATCATGTGATCTATTTATTARTATTGAAACCCACTAAATGTAAACCACTTGTCCAACAATAAATCACATAGGAATACAAACCAAAGGCAGATTAAATTACCTGAAAAAAAGTCTCCCACAAGTAATTTCCACATGCACTTCAAGAAAATTGTTTCCAAAGTGTATGTATATGAGCTACTTCTATGAATAATCGGTTACTGCAGAGGACATCTAGTACTGAACATCCAGTAAAGAACATATGTCTGGTTATCTCTGAAGGACTAGGAACTACTGARAGAGAAGCAGTTTATCAGCTTATGAAACACACATTTTGTCCCATTTAACAAGCTYTCTATTTGAGGATGTGATGGTACTTTGTGGAGCTCCCTGAGGAACTGCAGCATTTTTCCCCAGACTGTGACTTACTCAGCAGATTGCCCTGTCCCTTATTGCAATGTGGGGTATATATATGAGAAACTCATGCTGAATTTCAGGTTACTGTACCTGAAGTCCTTAGCTTTAAACGGAAAAAAGAAAAAGGTGCTCACAGGAGTGAGCTGTGAGGCGCAGAGCTGGAGCTGTTTGGAGGCTACCTCGATATGGCCACATGAGCTGGGGTCACAGCTTTCAGCCAGGCGTATTTAGGACCACCTCAAAACCCAAATCAAACCCCTTTCACCCCGTTGCACTCCTGCCTTGAGAGCGTGATCTCTTACAACTGCTCTGACCTTATTCAGTTAAATCTGCTACTAAACTTCTGATGTTAATTAGACAGAAATACTTTGACCCTTAGGTGCAAGATGGAACAATTAAATGGTTGTTTAATGAAACAGCAACTAAGGGGTGCTTGGCAGCATTTTAAGAATCCCAACCTCCCTTTTTAACCCATATGAACTTCTTCTGCCGTGAACTTAACCTGTCACAAGTTTCTTTCACTGCCTGTATTTGCTAGCGCCGAAAGCGCCAGCARGTTGACTTCACAAATCAACCCCGTGGCAGGTTGCAGGCCGAGCCCCATTCTCACCTCCACCTTGATGCCTGAGGCAAAGTGCTGCCTTTCCAGCTGAAGTGCACGGCTATGTCTTTACTTGCTCCCCTCATTTTGCCCTACGCACTTCTAGAAGACACACTTGGTCGTCTAAAATACAGGTAAGAGCTCCTCAGCATTTCTCTTTCCTGCAATTGGGCTAAAATGCTTTGATTTTACTTATTATTGTTAATCTGTTGAAATGTTTACAGGATAATATTGGTATTGAGTGTAACGGGGTTAAATAGGGTAGTGTCTGGGACAGGTAACTATCAAAATAGATAAATTACTGTGCATACTTGCACTTTACTCCAGCACTGTCGCAGTGCTTGCAACTTAAGTCATCTCAGAGTCTATCCATTACTCTGATGTAATGTAAAATTAAAGTCCAGTTCAGCAGGAAAAGGTTTCCTTGGTTGTGCCCTGGACTTTGGATCTGCTGCCAACTCTGTGTCGCCAGGGAGTGGGGCAGGCTCTTCCCCCTGCAGCAGCCCGGCTTCTGCGGGGCCGCGGAAAATTAAAGGAATTAAAGCATTGCTAAAGGCTGGTGCCTTTTCTATAGCTTCCTTTGACTACAATTGCTGAATGGACATGTAGGTATGGCTGTTGTATGTATGCTTTGTATGCAGCAAAGTGAACCAAGCCTACATGGAGCCTGTAAAATCTTAAATACATGGGGTGTATCTATGTGAGTAGTTCCTCCTGCTCTGGCACCCTGGGGTAGTGGGAACAGTTCCTCCCACACCAACACCACGGCGTGTTTTGTCTTTGCCTTGTGTGGCAGGATTCACATGGGGAGCCTCTCACGACCGGGCACCCACTGGCACCTGCAGCAGGACTGGGGGCTGAGGACCCAAAGGTGGCCCATCCGACTGTGCTTTGGGGGCTCTGGTTGTTGGAAATGGGGTGGCAGGATGCYGGATTACCCTTTAGATCACAGCTCCCTTCCATTTCTCCAATAGTCCCTCTGTGTTGGCAATTCTTATTATTCCCTCTGTGGGTAGCAGGAAGAAAGACTTGAAGTAAATGCCACAATGAGTGTCCCTTGGATTCCAACTGAGATCTCCCACGTACTGAGATCTCCCCCAGATATTTAATATTGATTTTAACATTCYCCTGCACAGCAGTATAAGATACAGTTATATAATATTGTCTGTGCCAGCTTCAAAATCTGTAACACCTAACTTCAAGCATTTGTCTGTGACATCTACATTAAGAGATGTCTCTGTTTTAAGTCAGTAGAAAGAAACAAAACCCCCAGAGAATGAGTCAGATCTCTGCACACAGACAGCTCTAGTTAGGATGAAATAGTTTATATTCAAATACTACAATATTTTTGCCGATAGCATTTTGTTTTTATTTTAACCCAAGTGTGAATATGTTTTTTTGGTCTTCAAAAGCATTTTTGAGGTGTCTGTCAGCTTTGATCTAGTTTTCAATGATGAAAATTCTTTCATAAGAAATTTCTACCAGAAGAAAATCAAAGCCAGGCTTTTCTTTTAATCTTAGTATCACAGCTCTGTTATTACAGTTTTGCTAAAAGATAGTAGCTCTGAGTAAGCCCATGTGCAGAAATCCCTTGGTGAGGCAGGGCTCTGAGTGACCTGGCAGTTCTTCTCTTACAGCGACACCCCTTTGAGTTTCACACCAAAGCATGAGGCTTGAGCTGACCTTTCTTCTACACCTCAGTAAGTACAAATGTCACATCTATCCAGGCTGGTTTTGAAAGGATATCATAGGATTTACATGTCTCAACAAGACTTTTTTAGAGCACTTCTTTTATTTATCAACTTTTATTTATCAGCTATTGTTGATAGCGATTCCTTGTTCCGTCCTCTCCTGTCCAGGAGCTGTGGGTCTGATAGGAAACCTTGAAGTACAAAGTAAAGATACCAATTGAAACCGAGCTTGAATCAGGCCCTAAGATGGGCAGTATATGTCTGTTARAAGCCAAGAAACTTGAATCTGGAAAATAAGAAAGGACAAGATAACCAAACATACGCATTGCTTTATACTCAAAGAATCGACTTTCAACAACTACCCAAAGTATAGCTTGAATTATAAAATGAAATCTGGCAGATGCAGATATTTATACAAATATTCTTCATAAACACTATGTATTTACTGCGCTAAGTGCACTAGTGTTTCTAATGTTCCTCTGGGATCTTCRTGTATTGATTTTGCTTTTTTAACTGTACTTTGTATAACAAGTCGAGCCAAGTAAAGCAGAACAGATAAAGCCTCCGAGGTACCATTCCTGTTCAGGGTTTCAGGACAGAACTTGTTTAAAAGGACAGGCCCTGCAAGGGAAGTCCTAACATAATGGAAAAAAAAATATTTAAAGTCATTTCAGGCAAAACAAACCAAAAGAACTTGCAATTATTTATTGAATTGTGAATGACGCTCTTTAATTACTAATATCCATTCCATGGTTCTTCATGGAGGGTTCTGAAACCACAGCATTAGGTTCATTTCAAATTACTAGATAATGTGAGGGAGCTCTGACTTTGATCCAGATCTCAGTTACACCAAGATAAGCTTGGAGAATTGAGCAGAAATCAGCAAAATAAGATCAGTGTCTGACCCTGCCCATGAAGGTTATTGAAATGTCTGTGGTTGGCCTGCAGTAGTACTGGGAATATCAGGAGAGGAAGCAAAATAAATTATTATTCCTAGACGAATGGCACGTTTACTGCACGAACAAGTGCTGAGGWTTGAAGTTTTAGGGCAAATTGGCAATATGCTGGCTATTATAACAATTTTGTGGCAGGTGCATTCATTAGAGAAGCTCTTTAAAATTCTGCCAAATGGTTTTATTAGGGACTAAAGGAATGTAGACAAAGGATGATTTATTTTTCCACCTGTATTACAATGTCACTGCTTTTCTCCAGTGAATACTGCTGAATATGAATGAATGCATATGAATGCATATGAATGTATATGAATGTATATGAGTGTATGAAGCCTTTGCTCTTTTGCACCCAGTGCTGTTGAGACCCCAGGGTGCCCAGGACGCCTGTGATGCCAGTTCTTGCCACCCGGCCATCGGAGACCTCCTCCTGGGTCGCAGCAAGCAGCTAACGGCCTCGTCAACCTGTGGCATGAAYGGCCCTCAGAAATACTGCATCGTAGGCTACCTTGAGGTTGGTTTGCTCTTTTCCTTTTTTAATAAACTAAACTTTGCTTACTAAGAATATCCTCATCTAGAAAAAGAAATTGCCCAGAGTGGGATGTTTCTATTGGAGTTGTTTGGATAGCCATCAGGTGGCACAAAATAMGCCTGGTGGAAGTCTACAGCTTATTGCAGCACAGATGGAGCATTTGGCAGTAAACCACAGAAAACCTTCAGAGTGACACATAGTTTCTCAAGAGAGAGGAACATCAGCAAAATGCCAATGAGCACAAGGCCTTTGGAAATCATTTTCCTTCTCAGAGGCCTCAAAGATAAGGACCACAGTCTGCATGGGGAGTCGTGTTTGGCGGGATGAGGGCTGCAGGCTGTAGACCTTCCCTGCAGGACCTTCCCTCCTTGCGCTGAGACCTGAGGCAGCCTTCAGAGCTTCACACCCTGTCTGCTCATGTGGTTTGATCTAAAATCAGACCTATGTTGACAAAAGCAGAAAGTCATCTCTGACAGAGGGAAAACCCTACAGTGTGCAGCACTGGGACCAGTGCCACTTATCCCCTTACCTCTTCRTCCTCTTTTGGACCTGGTGCTTTCTTCCCTCCATTTTCCAAACTGGCTCGGTGAAGCAGGGAATCCTTCCCTTAGCAGTGGCCTCAGGACTCCCACATAAGTCCTTAGTTCCCTTGCCAGTGATGAGGAACCAGATGGCTCAGGCTGGGAGCACCAGCACCCATATGTACAGGCTGCCCCTGCGGGCCTTGCAGGCCATGGGAGAGGTCCTTGTTGCTCCCTGGTAAAGAGGGAGATGCCTGTCAGGGCTCTGCGGTCCCACTGGTGTGTGGAAACACCAGCAGGGATGAAGGGAATTCTCCTTTCTCCAGTCCTGGAGGACTCGGCTGTATTGAGCTAATAGATCAACACAAGTAGAAATATATATGTATATATATTTATCAAACACCAGCTGTAGACTGAATGGGAAGTTAATAAAATATTGCTTGTTTTATAAACAATTAAAAACTGTTAGAGGTAATCACCTTCCAGCATAATGACACATTTACAGTTTAATGCTCTGCAATACTGAAGTGTCACTGAGCTCTGCTTGGAGTTACTCGTGGCAAATAGGTTTTTCTGCAGATTTTAAATGCCTCTTTCTTCTTCCCGGAAAGCCTGTGAGCTACTGTTCAGCTTTTGCCGTTTCCTCCCACATGCTTTGTGAAATGGGGCTTTGGCATTTACTCTGAATGTGGGCGATTTTTGGGATACAGGAGTGCAAAGAGCTGTCTCAGGGACATCTTGAGTAATAGATAATTAATATTTTCATTTGCCCGTAYTTACCCTTTGAATTATGTAAATACAAAGCCATGAAAACCAACAGCTGCTCTTGAGATAATCCATGTGATTTAATGCTATTTCAGTGTAGCTGGACCCCTCTGGTGACTATTTCCTGAAGATGAGAGTTACAAATTCTGCTGCTTTACAGAGCTCAAGAGATAGAGGTTTATGCTCTTGCAATTCCATTTGCTACACAAGCTCCCCATAAATGTGTGGGTAACTTATAGTCTATGAGGAAGTTCTGCTGTAATCAGTTCTTCTCACCAGCACCTTCTGTATGCTTTCCTAGAGGGAGGCCAGGAAGCTTAGCATCTTCCAAAGTCAATTTTTTTCCCCTAAAATTCTCCTCKTGATGACCCAGATCAGGCATCATAGTAAGAACAAACCTTACTTGTGAAAGTATGCATTAGTGATCGTGGCAAACTGCCCCAAATCGGGAATTAGTTAGGAGGTTTTGTTGAAAATTCAGATTGAAAAATACAGTTTAACATCTCTGTGTTTGAAAAGAGACACTAATTATTTACCCTCTCATATCCATTTGTTTCTAAAGACGTTCAGTGGATTTTAGGCCTCTGATTGGATTCATTAGTTACACATGTTCTGAAAGGGACACGAAGATAAGTCAGTACTGAAGAAAGTGCAAAGCTGCACACTGCAGAGACAAGCAGCATCTGGCAGCCTTGCATTAGGTGGACGTGTATGTGCTTGTCGTTTGGGAAGCGAAAAGATTTTTACTGTGCAGCCTTAAATGTAAGTTGAATGAGCGCCATATTATATGTGCCTATATAAACTGCCTGGGTAACTTGAACAGTCCACACCAGAGCTATCTAAAATCAGGTGACTGGGTGTTTTTTGTATTTCTGTCTCATCTTAGCAATTGACACATTCATGACATCCATGAGTCAAGTACACCGCAGAATGGCTAAGTACAATATATATTTATCATATTATTTAAAACACACCTGTGTGTATAATATACCTCTGAATCTGTATCTGTTTGTTTATTTAAACATGAATAATTACAAGGTGCTTAAAGATGTGCAAACCATTCCTAATATTTCTCTGTACATCTTGAGCCTCTCAGCTATGGGCACCAAATCTGTGGCATCTCCTCAGCTTACCTTTAGTGTAGGATTGTATCATCTTCTTCCTGATGTCCTGTCCCCCTTGGCTCCCCTGGCTATCTCCTCTGGTCTCTTACCCTTTCATAGCACTCACTGAAGGATCCTCCTCTTGCTGGTGACATTTCTGATGATCTTGTGCAAACTAGCATTTAAACTTGTCTCTCTGACATCTYTTTGTCTGTAAAGAGATCAGATGCCTCATCTAGGTGTTCTTTCTTTTTGGAGGTAGCAAAAACAAATTAGTGAGATTTTTCCTCTTAATCATTTAAGAGACCATATTGCCATCATACCTGCCAGTCAGGCACAGAACTCGAGCATCACGTTTGGCTCGAGCGTTGGGGAGGCAGCTGTTCGTGTCCCCACATCTTCCTTCTCAGTTAAGGTGTTACACTTCTCCAGGGCACTGCTGAGGACAACCACTCCACTTGTACTCATTCTTAGTGTCTGAATATGGATGATTTTTCAGGCTAGCACTTCAACCTTGTCACCTTTCCTTACGTCTTCTACTCATTCCTGCTTCCTTCTACTTACTCCTGCTTCCKTATCATCTTAAACATGGGCTACTTCCCTTCACTTTCAAAGCCTTTGCAGACAGCAGCCTCTAATCATGTCACCTTCATCACGTGCTTGTTAAATTTTCAAACAACCCTATCACTGAGATCCCCAACCTCCCTAACTCCACTTTTAAGCTTTCCCCATTCCATTGAACCTACAACAGGCATCGACAGTGGCTGCAGTGATGGTGTTTGGCAAGATCACCTATTTGCATCATGTCAACAGCTACATTTCTTTCCATTTATACTGTTTGGTGCTTCCAGCCAGGTCTTTGAGGCACCATAGATAACAGAGAATGTGCAAAAAGGCAAAATGAAATAAATGTGTGTATGTGATTTAGTAAATGGCCCTTTCCGGGCTTCTCTCAAATCTTGAAAGAGCAACTCATCCCTCCCATCCATTCTACTACCTCACTCCATTCACTGACTCAAAGTTTCTGCAGCCATTATGAGATATGGCTAAAAACTTAACTTTTGAAACATTTTCTCATGAGAAATGCTTGCAAAACAAACCATCTGACAGATAAAACTGGAACCAAATTTCTTTGCTCTTACTAAGATTCCCTCTTCACAGCAGAAAACGTGTTTTCATATGGTACTGAGGCAAATAAAAGTCCTAGCATCCCAACACCTATTACATCCTTGCTTTCTTTGTGCATATAATGAATTTGTCGAACTCAGTCAGAGGTGTCCTTTACATATGAAAGCAGAGGCACCCAAAGCAACAAGGCAGGTCCCAATCTTGCAATCAAATATATATGTGTTCCACCAGATCTTTAAAAAAGAGACYAAATTCCTCTATCCTGCCTATTTTGTTTTCTAGGCTGACCAGAAGTGCTTTCTTTGTGATTCCAGACACCCATATAATTCCTATACACAGCACAACAGCCACATGATTGAAAATGTTATCACAACTTTTGAGCCTGACAGGAAAAAGAAATGGTGGCAGTCAGAAAACGGTAAGTTTCCTGGGGAAAAAAAATGTCACTTCATGTGGTTTGATTCACTTATATAATCATTTTCCACTATTATCCCTTTATAAAAAGGTAAGACAAAATTGCATGTCTTCTTYGACTCAGTAGTATTAAAGAGGTATTTAGAGTGATTTAATCCTGTCCTTATGTATCACTAGAGGAATTTAGAAATCTTGTTTATTTACAGACAAATTCTAAGAAGTGCAGTACTTCCAACAACTGAATGCTTAAGTAAAGCCTGACTAGTTTTGTCACAGATTTCCCTGTGGTAGTTCTTCACCAATATCCATTTATATATCTTTACATCTTCTTTGTGAAGGGAAGTTAGGAGGAATGGCATTTTACTATATCCTTATTTTACATATGATAAGCATGTGAAAATATTTTACTAGTGAGAATTTAAGACATAGAAAAATTAATATAATATGTATTTTTAAACACTAAGTATTAAATTGATATCCAGCTAGAAATTCCTAAGCCTTGTTTTTTTTCAAGATGTGTAGCAAGGAACTGTCACCAGCTTTGGGCTCCACTGAGAATAAAGCTATGGGCCAGCTCCAAGAGGGCCATTTCTTGCTATCCCTATCCTTCCCTTGGGATGAGATCTCACAAAAAAGCCTTGTCAGCAGAAGCTCCAGTGTGACAAATGCAGACATAAGCACTGGGGATGTCATCTGATGCTACAGAAAATATGCAAATTGTGGTTTTTCTCCGCATGCTTTTTGGAAAATGCCTGCAATTTCGAGCAATAATCTAGCTCATGAAAAAATCCAAATCATCGTGTAGCAGTGTAGATATGTTTAACAGATCCATTTAACAGGAAAAAAAAACAATTTTTGTTAACATCATTCTTAAAAATGAGGAAAGACATTGGAGGGAATTAAAAGAAGTCTAGGTGCACACAGGAAGACACAAACTCAGACCCTCACTGTCACCATGTGTTTCCAGAGTGAATGAGGTGTGAACTGGGCCTTGAACATCTCCTGCAGCCTGGGTGACCTGCAGCATTGCTGGGTACCACACTGGGCATCACATCGCCCTTCACAGAGGCACTGGGACAGGGAGGTCTAGGCCAGATGCCAGTTCTGTGCTCCTGGTGATGGGAAAGGCACTTTACCTGCTCCACTGAAAAGCTATCTCAGCAGCCCCTCTCTTTCACCCCATGTCTTTTCAGGCATTGACCATGTCAGCATTAGATTGGACCTAGAAACTGTGTTCCAGTTCAGCCATCTTATCCTGACTTTCAAGGTAATGTTGTATGCACATATTTTACCTGAGCTTTCATTTAATTTTCTATTTCATTTATACTATATTTCACTCATATTTCATTTAATTTTACACTAATTAGTAAATCACTGGAATAGATTGCGTAGAGAAGCTGTGGAGTTTAGRGGTTTGTAACAACAGGTTAGATAAACACCTGTCAAGAACGGTTAAGTTATAGCTGATCCTGCCTTAGGGGAGTTAGATAGGCTGAATGGTTTCCTCTTCATGTGCCTTCTGGTCTTGTTTTCTACTAATCTGAAAATTATAGTTGAAAAAAGATAGATTGCAAAGTTAAATTCTCAAAATTTGGGAAATGCCAGAACTGAGCATTCRAATATAACTATGCCTTCTCCTGCATATGTATTGTGATCTGAATGSTTACAAGTTTTTCACTACAAAATCTGCGTTTTGTTGCAGCATATTGCCTTACTAAAAACTAAACTTGTGTTTAGGAATGACGGTACAACAACCTCTGGTATCAATGTCTGGTTAAGGACTTCTTAAAATAATGTTTCTTACAGACATTTCGGCCTGCAGCGATGCTGGTTGAGCGCTCCACAGATTTTGGTCAGAGCTGGAAAGCGTTTAGGTATTTTGCCCAGGATTGTGCAGCTTCTTTTCCCAACATCTCTTCTGGTCCAGCAAAAGGTGTGGGAGACATTGTTTGTGACTCCAGATATTCTGACATCGAGCCCTCCACTGAAGGAGAGGTATTGCCAAATATCTCTGTTCTATGAATTCAGTCCATATATTAATATTTTCTGTAGCTGAAGRGCTACAGAACAGCTGTAGCTGTTCTGAGTCCATTATATATATATTTATCTGTAATATATACATATTGAAAGAGAGAGACATGAGTTGTTATTGATTTGACTAAATAAGAGGGAGAAAAAAACTACTGCATTTATCCTCCAGTTTCACATCCAAATGAACTCATAAATTAACTTTTACAAAACTTTCTAGTGCCTTTTTTTTTCTGGTTTCCAAATTCCTGTAGAAGTCCCTCCTTACAAGAAATTGCCACATCCACCCCTTCTGCTATGGCAAGAGTTTGTCTTTTGAGCCCTTTCAAGGRGGCCCAGGCCTTTCCTGACATGTCCCTCCATCAAAAGGTCTTTTTGCTTCACTTCAAAGCTTCAAAACAGCCCTTTTTTCTCTTCTGTAAGATCAGTAACGTGGCATCAGTAACAAGTGAGTCTCAGGTGACAGATTTTGTATGCCAGAAAAAAAGATTGCATGTTTTTACACATATATTAACTTCTTTTTTGCAGGTTGTCTTAAAAGCTTTGGATCCTAGCTTTGAAATAGAAAATCCACATGCGCCATATATCCAAGGTATGAACAGCCTGGCTTTTCTCCAGAGATATTTTGCTGATGCTGTTTGTATACTGAAATGGAGAAGTGTTCAGCAGTGTAACTCAGTGATTCTAAAAAGTCAGTATACAAAGATTTTAGGGAGACATCTGTTCTAAATAAAACAAACCAGTCTTATTCTTTGGTCTTGATGTTGAATGGCCTGGCTCTGCACAGCTTAGATTGACCACATCCATAGAGGTAAATTGTTATTCTTAGGAGCAATCTCAGCCCCATTCTGCAAAATGCAGTTTGCTCCAAGCCAGAGCCATGCCAAGGAAGATGACAACACTTAGCTGTTTGCTGCAAGTGGGCCTATTCTCTGGCACGATACAGGTCACTGACTGGGTGGAGCTGGGCTGATACCAGGCTACTTTACCTGAATTTCTTTGGTTTAGGGAAATATCTGGATGATTTATCCAAGAAGATTTGACTTGGTCTGTTTTCAAATGTGCAGAATTTAGAGCGCCTTGGGCTCTTCATTTCTTCTCTTTTCTTCTAGAGTTCATTACTTTGACAAACCTAAGGATAAATTTTACTAAACTCCACACCCTTGGGGATGCTCTGCTTGGAAGAAGACACAATGATCCCCTTGACAAGTATTACTACGCTGTCTATGAAATGGTTGTGCGTGGCCATTGCTTTTGCAATGGTCACGCCAGCCGGTGTGATCCTGTGGAGAGCCTGCGGGGAGATGTTTTCCATGAGCCTGGAATGGTGCGTCCTAAATGTCCTCTCCAAGGAGGACAGGTCCTGTGGATATTTTGAAAGAACAGCTGGAGGGGGAGCAGGAGGGAGGTCTCTGATGATCCTTGGATTGATCATATGTAACTAGACCTTGTAAAAAGTTTCATACAGCTTCATCCTTTAAAACCCTAGGACACATGTCACAGAATTTGTCCCTTGTTGGCATTAGTGTGGGACTTCTAAAGCAACGGAGAGGAGACATGTTGGTGATAGCATCAAAATACCAGAGCTGTAATGGTGCAAATATAATGCAGTAAGTAGCTGGTGCTACGTGCAGGCTTGAAGGGCTGCTCAGGGGCACATTCCTTCCCTGCTGCTGGACTCGGGGCATCTGCAGCACTAAASGGAGACACCAGCACAAAGAAAATCTGACAGTACTAAGCTAACCTGGGAAAAGTGGCGTATTAAAAAAATCTGGAACATGATCGTGAGTTTCTTCCTTTTGGGAACAAATGTTTTGTATTGTTTTGCTTTGTTTCCCCAGGAAGATATATATATATATATGAATATATATATATATGTGAATATATATATATGTGAATATATGATATATGAATAAATAGACATTTGGAGAGAGAGAGATGTAGGAATAAAAAAGCTTTAATTTATGTCACTAGAAATAGATTTTCTTTCTAAACACTGCACAGCAGGTTTGCAACTGGTTGAAGTTGGTCAGTATTCTCCATACCTTTTACTAAGAATTTTGTCAGCTGAGGGAGCCAAAGAGCTTTGGATTTCCCTGATATTGCTGGCATACCACAGGCAGAATATTACTTGAGTAGGGAACACAGGAGGTCAGGAGGTCTTCTAGCCATTTAATGAATGGTTATATACAGGTGCAGTATGTACCTGGAATGCCTTAATTTGATTTAGGAGGGGTGCTGGAAGCTGGTGGCCATTTCATAGTATTAAAACTTGCATCAGTAAAGAAAAAATAAACCACTTTAAACTTGTAACTTAATGGAGCAGTAAAGTGAGCAGGAACAGAATATATAAAAATTTGTTCTAAGATGCAAGAAGGGCAAAATTGGATTCTGTCACAGCAGAGGTCTTATATGTAGAGGAAGAAACATCTTTTTGATGTTGAAATCAAAATTTTGATGTTGTTTGTGTGAAACATCCATCTGTTTCATTTGGGATAGAGAAGGATACTTTAGTCTTCCCCTTCAAATTCCACAAAACCAAAGAAATCTCTCTTCAGTTGTCCTTTCCCGGGCTTTGCAGGTCCATGGGAGATGCATCTGCCACCATAACACCGCTGGCGTGGCCTGTGAAAGATGTAAGGATTTCTACAACGATGCTCCCTGGAGACCTGCTGAAGGGAAGCAGGATAACGCTTGCAAACGTAAGGACAACACAAGCTCTTCCTCTCCAGCACAAGGAAGATGAGTGTAGTACAGTCCTAGGGCCATGCTTAATGGGATGGCCAAGTTTCTGGGAGGGAATATTTTCGATGTCCCTGTCTGGAAACATAGATTGATTCATGTGTCCATCAGTGCTCAGCTGCCCTGCAAGAAAAAGAGCTGTTTCCCATTCTGATTTTCCATAAGATGATAAAAATAGGAAAAGGGGACTAACACAAAACAGATCRTTCATCGTTAGTGTGAGGTCTTTCTTGCAAATGAAAGACAAGGCTGAATTTTTTTTTCAAAGTGAATGGATAACATTGCACTACAAAAATAGGGGTTTKGGGGATTGGGATTGGGATCCCGAAATTGGGATTTCGGGATCTGTAACGAATATTCAGTGAGATCTTCCTTTGATGAAACAGTGTTCACGGCAGCATATCAACCACACTCATCAGCATGAATGTGTTTCCAAGTTTAGGGTCCTGTTTTATCTTAAGTCTCCAATTAACACTTTGCAAGAATATGTGATGGAATCGTTTATTTTGCTACTTTTTTTTTTTTTTTTTTTTTTTTTTTGTCAGCCACTGTGGCTAGCAAGCAGTGTACGTGAAGCAAAAGGTAATGCAGACTAATGAATCATCTTTAATATTATATATGTGGTGTCAACGCTGAAAACATACAAAATCATAGATTTTAGAGAGAGCCACTTTTACTGGAAAAGGAGGTCTGTTTTTGACCTGCACCTGATCCAGAAAATGCGTGTGCTTGGGTGTGCTTGCCAAGTGCAGCGTTGCCAGTTCCCACTAATTTAGGTGAGCCCGGCAGTTCTGGCTCCACTCCAGGAGCTCCCTGGCTGCAGTGCTCTGCTGAGATCAAACTGCACCAGTGTTGTTGCAACACAGGCTCCTGGCACAATGTGGCAAATGTCCCTTCCTGGGTGCAGATGTTGGCAGGGCCTTCTTCTCCTCTTCAAACGRGTGGAGGTGATGCCACTGAGCTGCTGTTTTATACAGGAGGAGGAGAAAGGAAAGGGGAAGAGTGAAGAGCAGCAGCCTCTGGCTCCTCTCCCCCAACCCAGGGTGGTGCTGAGGTGTTTTGTGGATGGATGCTGCTCTTCCCTGTGGATAGGGAGCTGGAAACCAAGTCAGGCAGAAACGTCTTCTGCTTGAGGAAGGATTGGACATTCCCAGGGTTTCTTGCATGGTCTGGCAGCTGGGATTAACAGAAGGTGAAATGGTGACACCAGCCCAAAGCGAGATGCCTGGAGCCTTCTGTTTTGCTCCCACTAGTGGCTTATTCGACTGCTTGGCTTATGCTTCAAGGCATTCATATATGTCCAAGTCAACTTCAGAAGGACTCAGAACTGCCCCTTGCAGATTGCTAACTTCTGTAGCCAAAAGAATTAGTAGAACATTTGTTGTTGGACCCTCTTCTTTCCAACTGTTCCAYACAGTCATATGCTTCTTTTTTTTTGCAGTTAGCCCATAGTCTTGCCATCATTATGACCCACTAGCATATATATATAAAATAAAATTTGTTGTCAGTACCAAAGCTACTAAATTTGCTGAATTTGCTGTGGTGGCAAGGTCACAGTAAGGGCTACGGTGCAAAATGCCTCACCCTGTGTTTTTGCTTTCAGAGTGCAACTGCAACGGCCACTCTGCCAGCTGCCACTTTGACATGGCAGTGTAYGAGGCCAACGGTGGTGACAGCGGAGGTGTTTGTGAAGACTGTCAGGATAACACCATGGGGCAACACTGTGACCAGTGCAAACCCTTTTTTTATCAGGATCCACTCAAAGTCATCTCRGACCCTCACGTCTGCCTCCGTAAGCTCCCCTTTTTCATTCTCTTTAAGAATGGCTCAGAATGGGGTGGCTCCAGTTCTCTCTGCTGCTCTCTGCGCCCCATTGCATCACTACGCTTAGATGTTAATATAGTTGTAAAAATATTAGCAGACCTATTACATCCAGATTACCTTATAAAGTAACTGCGTAACAGCTTCCTTAAACAAGCATTATAAAAGGAGCTGCATATTTTCAACTCATTGCTCGTCTGAGCTTTGAAATACAGCAGAGATGTCATCTTTCTTAAACAATATGAATAGAAAATATGCATAGCAGTAATGTTGTTGCTCCCATGATAGTCATGGATTATGAAAGGGATGATAGATGATGGGACAACTAGCATCTTTTGCTAGAGCAAGTGCCATGTATGGGAAATRCAAACTTTCAGGCATGCAAGCCCTTCTTCTGAAAGACAAGTATAATTCATTATTAATATAGCACAGGAAAAAATGATCTGAGTATAATTTAGTTGTAGTGTTTGATTGGCCATTTTGAGTGAAAAGCAGAGGGGAAGATCACCAGGGGGAGAGGTGGATATTGCTGAACTGTGAGAAAAGTTTCGTATCCTTGGGAAAAATGGGATGCTTCATAGAAGTGGTGTCTCCTGTTTAATCCAATGCTTCTGGGAAGCAGTTCATCCATGGACAACTCAGACTAGCTGTGTGGAGGTGACTCGTGTGTGATATCCCTCTGCAACTTTTTCAAGCTTATATCTAAATCTTCTTTTCTGATGTCTCCTGCTGTGCAGCCTGTGACTGTGACCCAAAAGGCACCTTGCAGCCCGGCTTGTGTGAGCGCCGCACAGACCCTCTTCTGGGAACTGTTGCTGGTCGATGTCCTTGCAAGGAGAATGTGGAGGGAGCCCGCTGTGACAAGTGCAGGCCAAACTACTATGGCCTGAGTGTCGATGACCCTCTAGGCTGCCAGCGTATGTAAACCACCTCTCTTATTCTTCTTTCAATGCATTTTATAGCTATTGAGGTACTAGAGCCCGTAGAAGCACACACATTAACTGCTTTACAAAATACCCAGTGGCCCACAGGGATTTAATGTCAGGGGCATCACATTGCTGAGGAAGGCAAAGGTTGTCAGGACCAAAAAGATACAAAAACATTTGGAGAACACATGCAAGTAACCAATTTCATTGACAGAAAAAAAGAGATTAAAACACATGAATGTTATTTCATGATCAAATTGAGCAAAAGGATGATTTCATAACCATGGAAACGATGCCAGGGATCTCTCTGAGGATATCTGGACTCTACAGAGCCCAGTGCAGGGTCAGGATGGCCCAGCTCCAGCCTCACAGACAGTCTAGCTGCAGTGCTGGGAGATGGAGGCCACCTCTTCTACCACATTTTAACTTCTCAGTGCCCACCTCTTCACTGAGGTGTCACAGGCTGTGCAGGGTGAATGCAGTTATGTAGCAGGCTAACTTGATGTAAGCATCTCCTAAAACCAGTCTTCCCACTCTGATGATAGTGCTGGGCTTTAGTATGTAATGTTCTGCCTGCTGCTCCATAAGGTTCCCATAAGGTGCTCCATAAGTTTCTACAGAAAATATGTACGATTCTTTCTGGGTAGCCATGGTCTGAAATGTTCTTTTAAATGYATTTAGAAGCCGTTTGTCAGGAAGCAAATGTATTTTTTAGGAAGAGGAAAATAGAAATACCATCCACAACCACATATTCCACTCATTTTAGGTTCCATGCTTAAAATATAACTAACATAAAATAAAGAGAAATCCATGTGCCTGAAACAAAAGCCCAAATGAATGCTCCTTCAGACTAATAAGACCATGACTTATTTTGTTYTTCTGCTTGTTTTCGATAATTTTGGGGCAGTGTTTTGGGGCTCTTCATGCATAGCAGTGAGTGATAGGGAAGTGAGAAAGCAGCTGAGTGCTTGTCCTGAGAGCCTGCAGCCTGGCAGTTCTCTGAAGTAGGAGACAACACATCCGTCTCCTACTTGGGGACATTCTGAATCTGTGAGCAAAATCTGAGTATCAGCACACAGGATTGCACAGAAAATCACTGCATGGACTCCAGCCACTCATTCCCTGTTCCACCCCAAGATGTTCCTAACCAAGGCAAAGGTCCTTTTCCCCAAAACAAGGAGCTTGCTGCAGATTTGTGGACAGGGAATTCCAATCTGGAGATATTCTGGAGATCTTCAGGATGTGTTTGGACGCAGCCCTGTGCCACGTGCTCTTGGTGACCCTGCGTGTGCAGCGGGGTTGGACTAGATGACCTCTAAAGGTCCCTCCCAACCCTAACCATTCTCTGACTCTATGATCTGCAGATCCCTCACCCGAAGGATGGGGGCCGCCTGTCCCTCTGCTGCCACATCTGAAGCAAACTCCCGCTCCGCTGCTCGCAGCGGCGCCCACCCAACTAACCCCCCGTTTCTTTCCTCGCAGCCTGCAACTGCGATCCCTCGGGCACCCTGCCCTTCTCCAGCTGTGACGCCGTGACTGGCGAGTGCCTCTGCCAGCGGCGGGCCACCGGCCGGCGCTGCCACGAGTGTGTCGTATGTACCGGGGCCGTTTTTCCTGGGTCTTGATCCACATGGCTGGGGAAGATTCCGCTCCCGTCGCCTGCCTCCATGTGGGCTCTCGCATCGAAGGAGAGAGCGGCAGATGTTCTGGATGTGCTGCGCCATTTCCTGCGCCTTTAGAAATAGAAGGAACACAAAAACTTCCTTGTTTTCACTGAAGAAGCTTATTCTGTAATAATATTGGTTCAAAGTTTATTGTATCTATCTATGGAATTAAAGCATTTTAAATGGCAGAAGAGACAAATGAGAAGGGTAGCAAATTGCTCTTTATACARATTTTGTAAGCAGAGAAAGGAGCTAGACATAGGATATACTTTGGTGATGCTCCACAGAGCTCTGTGGACAGTGTGCTATGGCTCATTCAGCAGCCTGGTCTACCAGGACTTGAACCTTAATAACACACCCATGCTTAACCTTACTCACATCATAGTTCCAGAGAAATGTTCATTCAGAGAAGTCAATTCTTTTGTGGTTCACATACTTAGATATTTTCTGTAAAAAAAACTCTTTTTTTTTTTTCCCTTTATATTCCAGCCAGGATACTGGGGCCTTGGCAAGAGCTTGTATGGCTGCTTTCCATGTGACTGTGACATTGGGGGATCCCAGAATAATTTGTAAGTCAGTGTTTGCCTTGAATTTTTGTCTTGGCTTTGGTTTTATAAACTCTTGGGCTAGACTTTCTAATTAGTTTCATACAGTCTCGGTACAAATGGAAAAATAGACTGAAGACATAATTTCGTCAGATGAAAACACCATAAAGTCATGTTGGGATTCTGGGAATTGGAGGCTTTAAAGGAGACTTGCCTTTTTTCTTTTGAAGTCTGCTTTGAATCTCATGGACTTGAGATTAGTTTAATGAAAAAGACAAACCACCTAGTTTGAGAGAAGCAGAAGCTCTAATATTAGTAGAAATGAGCAGTAAGTTAAGGGTGACATTTTTAACTCAGCTTCCAATATCCACTTTAAATGCTAGAATATGCTAGAAATATGCTTTAAATGCTAGAAATATCTTATTTTTTCAGAGGYACTGGGCTCCTATTCAAAAGGTATAATTTTAGAGACAAGATTTGTTTCAGTTGTGCTCCTCCAAGATTTAGATCATTGCTTGTTAGATTTCAGATATAGAATCATATGATCTGATCCCATAGGACAATTCCTCRATATGCCCAGTGTGTAGTAAATCATAGCTAGCCAGTATGTCATATGCTAAATAAGAGTGTAAGTATATGAACATTACCATATTGCATCAAATCAAAACTCCATCTGACCTAATGCTGTGTCCCTAAAAATGATAGCTGTAAGACTAGTAATAGACACAGTAATAAATAGAGTAACAGATATAATAATGGATAGTGGCAGATCCTCAAGAAATAAAGGAATTTGCTATGGAATGGACAGAAAAAGAAAGAGCCTCTCACACCTCTCAAAGAGATGAGAAAGTAGCAGTAAATAAATCCAGCATCAGACAAGAGGAAACAGATGGTTGGCAGTAGGAAAAAGTTTTATAAGGGAACCCATATAATGATGAAAGAAACAAAGTAGAATCAAAGCTGGAATTTAGTTCCTTTTGTTTTCAGAAGACCCATGTTTTACACTCTCATATCCTTCCTTTACCAACTCTTACTCTAGGTGCTCGCCAAAGGACGGTCAGTGCACGTGTCTTCCCAACATCGTGAGCCRCCAGTGCAACAAACCAGCTGCAGGCTACTTCTTTTTACCCCTGGATTATTACATTTATGAAGCTGAGCATGCCAAGGCCCTTTCTGGCTCTGCACCTTTGGTACGTTGTCTGCTTTYTAGATGTGGGACTGAGACGGGGTTCATGTGGTGGCTGCAGGGGAGCCAAGGCTCAGGAGAGCAGTCAGAGCTGTTCCTTAGCAGGAAGGTGCAAAACAGTTTCCACAGCCATCATCTCATCAGCTCATCCTTTTTTACCATGGACATGACTATATCTGAACTGCAATAGTTAGGGAACAGTCACTGCAACATGGTGTGACCATGTGCAAAGCTCTCCCTGATGCTCCCCAACCAAGCACTAGTCTAGAGAGCAATAAGAGCAATAATCAGAGCAATAATTTAATTAATTAATTTAGAAAATGTTTTCGAGGTACCGGCAGCTCCAGGATGAGATATCACAAACTCATATCACAAAAAAGAGAGTTTCTGCAAAACTCTTTACAGAGGAAAGAAACAAATTTCTCTCTGATCCATTGGACTCCATTCTTGCTGCTTTGTGTCATGACACTGATTATAGCCCAATTTCCTTAAGAATTTGATGTCCATTTGTAATGTTTTTAGAGCACTTATTCTTACTCTTCCTATTATTCACAAAATTAGTCTAGTTGTTCTCCATCCCAAGTACAAGTCTGACCTTGCTGGAATGTGTCCCTTCCGCTTCCTACATTTTTACTAATATTTCTTCTCTGATGTGTTGTTAAGAAGCTATAGAGAAGGGATAATAAAAAATATGTTTATTTGCAGTTCACGTCCCAAAATATTTAGCTATAATCACAACCAGTAACCATCCTACAGTCCAGCACTGAAATGGAAAACAGATGTCTGGGACATAGCTTATGAAAGGAAGGACAAGTTAATTGTAACAGAGCAAAAAAAAGTTTCCAGCAGAGCTGGGAGCAATTTTAGAGTCTCACCAGAAGAAAACAGAACTTGTTTAATGAACAGTGATTTTGGCTTAACTCCTTACCCTTCAGTATAGTTCAGACAGTGCTGCCCCCCTCTCTCATTGCTTTTGTTTTTTAGGTTAAACCAACAACTCTTCCAAGGTGTGACATCTATTTCCAAAAGCAAGGATACGAGTTCACAATAGAAAAYGGAAAGATTGTTTTAAAGAGAAGCAAGAAACGAAGTGTAAGAAAAGCAGGATTGGAAGAGGTAAACTGGAGCTGCAATAGTTMCTTAAACAAAAGATTATGCCAAATATTAAAATACAAATTTGCAAGAGAAAGTTGCGCAAGGAAACAGATTAAACCAGCAGCATCTGAGCATATGGAATTCACAGTTCCAGCCATTACAGTCCTGCTACAAATGAAATCAATTTTTGGTATGCAATTGGGCTGGATGTTATATAATTCACACAGGGCAGGCTTATTTTGCTCTGCTACTTCAGTTTGTAGAGCCAGATTCAACTAACTGTTTAGAAGGGAAGGGGCCCCATGAAAACAAAACATTTTTGTGTGTGTGAAGGATGTTTTCAATGTCAAAGCTGTGCTTAGACGCTTACATACCTACTATACTTAAATGTTGTCAGCTTTGTCATTTTAAGTATTGATATTTATGGAATGTAAGYTGCACTGAAAAATATGCCCATCCTTAATTCTAAAACAGAAATATCTTTAAACCCTTTTTTTCTTTTAATCTTGTTACTTCTGCTGAGAAAATTTATGTGTCTGTACATGTGTAGGCTCAAGCACATGCACTTTCTAAATAGAGCTATCAGTATTTTAAATTACATTTGAATACATTTCTGGTATTTCCGAGKGGAAATTATTTTCCACAGATACAAATGCTCGCAATGAAAAATCTCGCCACATGCAAAATCAAATTTACTCCTTTTAAGGTTTTCGCTGTGAACACTTGAAGATGCCAAATATACAGAGATTGATGGGTTAGTCCAGTCACTCTCACTGCTGTTGTTTTAAAGGTCTGGGAAGTTTTTCTGTCTAAGTGACCCTAATCTTCCCACACTTGAGAGTTAAGAGTGTAAATCTAGAGTATATTTAGAAAACTAGGCTGATTAATGGCTGAAACAAATAACTACATGGCAAAAAAATCCTTCCTTTCTTCTTTTTCTGTGTTGGTATTTTCAAAATGTGACTGTTTTTGGTGAAAACGCCAGTGTGTCTTGGCAGGGCACGGCTCAGCTGGGGCAGGATTCCGCTGTGGATGTGGTTTTCAGGCAGCCCAGGCCTGGCAGACCCGTCACGTGGACAGGACCCGGCTTTGCCCGGGTTTCCAGGGGAGCTGGACTGAGATTTACCATCAACAACATTCCCTTCGCTATGGACTTCGATATCCTCGTCCGCTACGAGCCGGAGGTACTGGTGAAGTCTCTGCTCAGGGCCTGTTTTACCAGCAATGTGGCCTGGCTTGTGTTTAAAGTTAAAATTCTTTGCCTTTTCATCCTTATCAAGGGAGAAATAACAGGCCCTCTGCCAATCTCCTTAACGCTTTCCACTTTAATCTTAAAAAAAATAAAGAATGATGGAKGTTTTCTAGCCATCAGCTAAGGTTTTATCTTCTGATTTCTGATCTCTTATCTCTGCTTGGACTGGATYTTGCACACAAAGCAGACACATGCAAAATCCAGCTCCTTTTAGATGGCTATCCCAAATTTCTAGCTGGGATTTCCTAAGCAGGAATGTTTGTGCATGCAGGAGTGGACTGATCCGTGTATACACCATGGACATTTGCCCAAGACTTTTGCAGACATCCAGCTTCCTGCTTGCTCCAGCTGGGCTGGAGATGTATGAACGTTGTAGGAAAATAGCCAAAATCTTGTTTTCTGCCTGGACAAAATTTCTCAATGGGGAAGACACATCTAGGAAAATCTGTTAATACAGATCCAGTTAAATCTGAGACTKAACCCGTGTGTTCAAAAACACATGCAAGAGATTTGATTTATCTTTACCAGTATCTGTGCATTCCATRTGCATTCCCATCCTAGCTCCCTGGGGTAATCATGGCATTTGAGCTRATGGTCATTCTGCCTACTGTATTCAGCTGTTTTCCCATCATTTTGAGGCAAACAAAAAATCCATGGACTTAAAATGTGAAAACAGACACTCAATAATTTTGCAGTAGGAGGATCTGATTTTTCTATGTAAGAATTAGAGAAAATAGTTGGATTTTAAAGACTTCTGTTACAAAGTCTTTTATGCTTGTTAGTCTTTATAAGGTGTGAGTGGAGGTACATAATGAATGGTTTCTCTGGGACACAACTGTCCTACAAAGAGAACGATCTCACTTGACTTTAACAGACCTGTTTTCTTTACACTGGCTGGTGTCATTTCCATTACTCCACGTGCATTAGCCATAGCAAATACAGTGCATTTCTCATAAAAAAGCTTTTCTTAAAAAAAAATCTTGTAAAGAACAAAATGTGTTTTCTCACTGCAATGTGCTGTCACTCGGTTTCGGTAACACTGACAAAGAGCAAAGGTTGTTTTCATCTGTGAAAAATTATCTTTTCTTTCCTTTGCTTATAGTCCTTGGAAGACTGGCTAGCAAGAGTTACCATTCAACCCAATGGTATTTTGTCAAGTCAACGCTGCAAAAACAAGGCCACTTCACAGGACTCACATGCACTGGCTCTCCCTGCAGTGAAAAGGTCTGCCTATACACCTCTTATACTTAACACCAGCCCTTACACCTCTAATATTCTGCGAGCAAATCTTTTACTGAAGCACTGCAGAGCAGTAGATGTGGAGAATATTAGAATACCAGAAACACACATGATGCTAGAAACATGGCCTTTCCTCTTGCTGCCACACCACAACCCCATGTAGCCCAAGAATCTGATGCTTCCATCCTTGGCCTGGCAGAGGTTTGTCAAAGCAAGGAGAGAGGCCTTAGGTTCTTCTGGGGTTGGTTGTTGCTTTGGCAAAAAGCCAATAAAAGCTATTTCTGTATAGAAGGGGAATGTTGATGTAAAGGCATTGTCCTAGCCTGTTTTCAAAAACAGATTTCAGTTTGCACCCATGGAAAGAATAGAAAGGAGCTGAGAGGACTTCCTGCAGTCTTCATCAAACAGCAGTAGGAAACGGCTAGTGTGAATGCTGAACTGCAAGCCCAAAAGCTGCGGATTTCAGTTTAACTTCAGCAGGCAGAAGTCGTGTGGCTTTCCCAAAGGCAGTGACACCGGMGCCTGCAAGCTGGGATGTGTTTGGGAAGCACAGGGCATCCTGCAGCAGGGCTTGCTTGGGAGATGCAGCAGGACGTGGGCAGGGAAGGGCCTTGCTGCTCTTCAGCAGAGGAGGGGCAGCTCATGACACCCCATAAATTTATGGGCCTTAAGTGGCCTTAACTGTGCTTTATTTCCACTAAACAGACTTGCTCTTCTACAAAAGCCAGTCTGTTTGGAGCCAGGAACAGAATATCTTGTGGATGTTTATTTTTCTCAGCCATCTGCCCCTGACCCAAATGTTAAATCATTCATCTTGATCGATTCAGTAAGTAATTCTGTCACGTTTCCCTTTAAGCTGTATTTGTACCTGTTTTCTTTTTTTTTTTTATATACAATCATTCAAACTATTTAAAAACATTTATAAATTTTCTTTATCAGAAATTCAGAGAAGTAAGCATATGCTTCTCTCTGTTTGTCCTGGGTTTATATGTTTTTGTATGGAGAGAAGGGATTTTGTGCTTTAATTTTTATGGAGCAACACCACAGCACCTCATCAGGTGTGGCATATGTTAATAGTTAGCTAGAAGATATTCCTCTATTTAATGCTTATTTATTATGAGTATGTTCCTCAGACACTGTTAAGATGCTRTGGTTAAAGATAGCCATTAATGCAGTGCTTTATCTATCTATAGTGTTTTTTTTTTTTTTAATCTGTGTAATTTCTCAAATTTTAATTAAAAAAAATGATGGCTGTGTTTACAGATGGGCCCCGAAAACAAAATCATATCTGCAGTTTCTCTGGAATCACATCCAGGCATTCCCCAATTTTCCAAGAACTCATGGACTCAATGTTAGTGTTGGGTCCTACTCTTGAGACCTTTGAAAGCTTTAAAAATCCATTCCTCCAGTTATCTCTGTAGAAGTGAGCTTGGCAAGGGTGGGCCGTACTTGGACACAGAGTCTTCAGTTGATTTTTCTCTGTCTCAGTAATACAACATTTTTGCCAGATACTGCTTTCAAAGTCATCAATATGGCATCTCTTAACAGCAAAAGTTCCATGCATACATTTGAGGTCTTATTATAACTGGATTTTTTTATATACAGCCTCTTTTATTTGAAGAACTCAGGGAATGTTGAGAACTTTCAAATAAATATGAATTTAGATGACTGACCAGCACAGATTTAAAACCGAGGTGCTCAAGGCTTCCATCCGTGCAATGCAGAGCCCAGGAACAGCATGTGGGAAACTCTGGTCTTCAGCATATCTAAGCATAAATATTTTCTTTTCTGTCTTAATGCCAAAGCTTGGACTTATTCCCAGAATCGGCTCCGTGGAGAACTTGTGCAGTAAAGAAGATTTAGAGGAGTACCAGCAGTACCACTGTGTTGAAGCTGCCGCCGAGGTCGGCGCAGAGCTCCTGCCGGCCGCGTGCGCGCGGCTCATAGCGAGCCTCTCGGCGCGCATCCATAACGGAGCCGTCGGTAAGCAGCAACCTGGGCACAGGGTTATTTTGCACCATTGCTGGTTTTACCTTGGCTGTGTAGCATATTTTGAGCTTTCACCCGGTGGCAATGAAGTTTGTGAAGCTCATCAGCACACGGTGTGTAAGAGCATGCAAAAGGTGGCCTGCTGAACCCCAAACGTGCTGCAAACAGCTTTCCGTTGGCACGTGTCCCTTGGTGGTAAGTCACCACCAGGCCAGGCTTTGTGGAGCAGAGAGACAGGAATCATGGCAGTGTGCGGGGGTGTTTTCCAAAGGACATTGCAACCAGATGCTGCTTTACCAGGCGACCAGAACGGAAGGACCTAAGTGTCAGCTGTTCCGTGAGCACTGGCTGGTTGCCCCAAACTGGCACAGGAACTGCTAAGCCCTCAGCCACAGACACGGCCACAGCCAGCTGGATGCGAGGGCAGGATGTTTATTGGGCAGGAGGGGTAAGGCAGGACAAGCTTATTTACTTGAAGAGACTGACCAAGTAAACCTTACCAGTGGGCAGACAGGTGGGTTTGAGCCCCGGGCAATCCCAGGGACCCACTGGTGGGTTTCCCAGTGGACCCACTTGCGGAAAGACAGCTTGTGGCTCAGCAGCTAAGTGGGCTTCTCCTATGTTGGACATGTAGCTGTGGGGCTTCTTTGGACTTCCTCTAAGAGGAGGTGCCATTCTGGGCAACATGGAGAGCCAGCTCCTTGTAGGAGTCTTGCCTCCAATGGACTTGATATCTCCTGCTAGATTTCTTCTAGGCTTCTGCTAGGTTTCTGATGGGTTTTGTCTATTTTTAGAACAATTGCTCACTCTACATCATGCAGTATGGTCATGACTACACAGCCACAGAGGGCCCCTCGTTTATCTTATGCTGACTCCTTATTTGCCTCATCCCCATAGTGATGTGATTCTCTCTGTGCACCCTGGCTTTATAGAATTAGAATCCTGTGAAATGAAGTTTTATTTTAGAGACCCTAATCAGGGGAGAATTTGGGATTGTGGTTCCTGGAGGCAGCAGTGCACTTGGAATCCACAAGGAGACAGCACCCTGAGTGCCCTGCAAGGGGGAGGCAGCTCTGTGCCATGAGAGTCCAAGGTGTCCAGAAGCAGCAGGCTTCATACACGAGTGCTGACTAAGTTTTGCATTCAGATTACATCCAGCACTGGTGCTAGCTGCAGACCAACATCAAACAGCTCTGGACTTTGGGTTATCTCTTATTTGGATCTACATTTTGATATATCCTTTCCTGTCCTATCTCCAGGAGACGCCGAGGCCTTGTTGTGACACCTCCAACACTGAGACTTGTGCTGGTGCCTGACACACCATCATTGCACATACAAATATATCACATAACCCATACAAATATATTTGCACATACAAATATATCAAATGACATCAGGAGTCATTAATGAACTCCTGATGTGAAGTAGTCAAGCTCTTTCCTTCCCGTTTTTAAGTGTATAACCTCAAGTGCACAAGAACAGCCACACTCATTCGCTTTGTTTTGTCCTAACTAAACCTGTTGTGCCTCACTTCCCTGTTGGCAGCCTGCAAGTGCAGTCCCCAAGGGGCGCTGGGTGCCTCCTGCACGGAACTCGGGGGCCGGTGCCAGTGCAAAGCTAATGTCGTGGGCCGCTGCTGCGACACGTGCGCGCCGGGGAGCTACGGCTTCGGCTTCCATGGCTGCTACCGTGAGTACTTGGCAGTGGCTCTGCCCACCCAGGAAACTTCACCTCAGCTTTTGGGATCTCTCTCCTAGCCAGTTCTCTGTTGCTCTGCACTTCCCGGCATTTGCTGGGGACGTAGGAATGGAGTAGAAGGGTTGGTGGCCAGTCCTTCCTGGCTGGAGGACTGAGCACAAAACTTCTCACGAGATTTGTCACTCTTGCCTTAGATTTGCAAACTATTTAATTTCAAAGGACTGTATTTCAGTGCATAGCTTTCAGTACCTGCTCTATGTAAAGAAGATGGGGCCAAACTCTTCTTGGTGGTAGCCAGCAACGGGACAAGGGGCAGTGGGTGCAAGTTGAAACCCAGGCAGCTCCATGTGCATGTGAGGAAGAACTTGTTTGGTGTGAGGGTGCCCGAGCCCTGGCCCAGGCTGCCCAGGGAGGCTGTGGAGTCTCCTTCTCTGGAGATCTTCCAAAGGCGCCTGGATGCCGCCCTGTGCCCCGTGCTCTGGGTGTCCCTGCTGGAGCAGGGGGTTGGACTGGATGATCTCTAGAGGTCCCTTCCAACCTCAACCACTCTGTGATTCTGTGATTCTTCACTCACACCAGAGCTTTCAGGACTTGGAATCCTTCGCTTTGTGCCAAGCCATGTACAAAACATTCCCACAGACTTAACCAATTTGCCCACCCTGGGAGCCCTCAGGGCGGAGGCGCCCGCGGCGCCAGTGGGGCGGCGCTCGGGGTGCAGCGTTGCCCTTGGTGTCTTGCAGCGTGCGAATGCCACCCGCGGGGCTCGCTGAGCGGCCTGTGCGACCAGGCGACGGGGCAGTGCTCCTGCCGGCCGGAGGTCGCGGGCCAGCGCTGCAGCCGCTGCCTTCCCGGCTATTTCGGCTTCCCCGCCTGCCGCCCGTGCTCGTGCCACGGCCACGCGGAGCTTTGCCACCCCGTCACAGGAGCGTGTCTCAACTGCGGAGGCTTTACGGCTGGAAGCCGCTGCGACAGGTAGGTGGTGGTGCTCACACCAACCCTGGTGGGTCTTTCAGATGTGTTTTGCCAGGGGCCAGCCCAGCTTCAGCCATCAGCGCCCACCTAAGTCCCCATGAACGCATTAATGACCTTAACTGAAAATGTAAAACTAGGGTTACACTTGGCCTTACTACTGAATGTCAGGTACATACTGGTTTGGAATGTGTGAGTTTTAAGGTGCTGGGCCATCTTAGCTGTTCCTGCAGGATTTGGGGCACGGTGTGTGCAGAATAGTGTGCCAGGCTCCTGGTGCAAGTTGTGCAAGGTGTCCAAGTATATCTTTGGAGACCTGTGTAAAGTGCCACGTGTAAGATCGACTTCTGCCAGTTTTCACATAGCCAAGAGGCTAAGCTAGTACCAAATACCTGCCTTTAATACTTATAATGATCTCTGAGGAACTTAAACAAACATGCCCTCTTTGCTGGTTTGTATCACTTCCCTGTGACCAGTAAATGACTTTTCCCACATATTTCCAGCTCCATTTAAACAGTGTTCCTCTTTTGTTCTGGCAGCAGTATCAGAGAGCAGATGTCAGAATAAAATTCATTAGCTGATAATTCATTAGTTTAGTTTGGCTGTTTTGTACTTTGCAATTCACTACTAAGAGAATTTTCCCATGAAACCCATTGAATTTTTCTTGTGACACTCTTGGACAATAGACCCTGTGGCTGTATTGCTTGTATGTGGCAAATAAATTAAAAATGGAAGAGCAAGACAGTTTTTGCCCTGTAACTTCACATTTGCTCCAGGCCCCAGGGCAAATATCATGGATTAGCCACGTATTTGAGTCACGATTATATAAATATACAGAATTGTGGTCCCATTTGCCACTATAAAACAGGCTAAAGGCTGAAGGAGCTGCTTCAGAAGCCGTCCTGCCTGGGTTCAACATTGCCTACATGGCTGGGTTCAACAGATAGGCAATACTTGTATGCAGCATTTGCCATGGGAATATTGATTTGCACCAGGGTTTTCTAATGTCATTTCAACCACTCTTTTATACATAGTTGAGTATACTCTTTATACAGAATGAAAAACAAATGTATGAATATGTATAGTGAATATGTATATGTGATAGGTGAATAGGAAGGATTTTTACACTGCAGCTTTTAGCTATTTGTACCGAGCGTGTATGATGTGATATCTGCATTGCCATTTAGATGAAATTTATTCCAAAGTAGATGAAAGTCTTCAGTAATATTGCTTGAAGAGCAAATGTAAATTTATCTTATTGCTAGATTTGGAGGATGCACCTCTGCTGCTACATTTTTGAGCATATTTGGAGCTGGATATTCATTTAGGAGGACTAACCTTACAAGGACCAAGACTGTTAAATCAATTATAAATATATGTAAGTTGATTCCCCAGCAGGGACTGAAAGATGCGTTTATGGATTCACATTGCTCTGTCTTACCTGTTTGGCAGGTGCATGGATGGCTACTATGGAAATCCTGTCCAAAGAGAGCCCTGCCGCCCTTGCATGTGCCCAGAGGCACCTACAAGCGGGAGATATTTTGCACATTCCTGTTACCAGGACTCCCAGACTTCACAATTAGTCTGCAATTGTATCAAGGGATACTCAGGTACAAAGCAAAATAAGGTTTGGTTTTTGTTATATTAACATTAAGGCAAGGCAGAAAACTTACCATCCTCTGCTCAGAAATGCTGAGATAATGATAATAAAATAAATAATGATTTTAAATATATAATTCACCTGTGTGGATATGCTGAAGTCAGTAATTAGTCTGAAGTGTTTATTCCTAGATGAAACTATTGCACGTGTCCAGCTTTGCAAAAATGGGCTCCAGTATTGGCCGCTTTTAGAGTGAGATGTTTAGAAGGCATGAAGTTGTTCTGGGAAACCTTAATAAACTAAAATATGAGCCAATGCTATCATCTTTCCTTAGGTCAGGTTATTTTGAGGGGATTGTGCTTGAGTAATTGCGATAGGGCCGAAATTTTTCTTGTTGTTATTTGCCCAAGGGACATCTGTGCTTAAAAACTACCAGTGTGCTCAGTTCTGGACTTTCTTGCTCCTGATGGCTCCTGGTGAGGCTCTGAGGCACCTCTGTGGCTCCAGGGTCATCAGAGACTGGGAAAGGCTCTGGTGGTACCTGGGATGTGGGACGAAGGAGCTGACAGTCCTTGGCAGAGGATGCGCCAGTGGACAAGATGCCAGTGACACCAGTGTGTCCCCAAGAGGCACAGAGGGAGCAGCTCTCACCAGGGAGGGCTCTGGGACTGCTGCAGATGTAGGTAGTGCCAGTGAGTTAGGACACAGCATGTGAGAGCCAGCAAACACCCCAGAACTCATCTGACCTCATGGAGGATCATCCAGTGGGATGGATCTGCTCCAGGAAAGGGCATCCCTCACCTTCCATGCCCTTGTAGGCCTCAAGGCCACAGGGAAGGTCTTGCAGGATGATCCAGCACTTATTACCACTTTTGGAAGGATTTTACTGGGAAAGAAAGATGTTCAGAGGTGTTTTCTGAGGCTATTAACTCCCAATGAAAGGATTTCCTTGGGAAAAAAAGAAAAGTTTCCGTCAGCTTGCAGTGTGAAAGAAAGAACCTTAACTGATTGTAGGATTAAAGCACAACAGTGTCAAACGTTGGAAATGTGTGTTTGAACAGTCTAATTCCATTAACAGTATTATTAAAAATTATACTTTCCATTTGAATTCCCGTCAGCCAGCAAGTGTTTTTACCTTCCTTACTGACAGGCAATCAGTGCGACGAGTGTCCTAGTGGGTTCTACAGAAATCCAGGAAACCCTGGGGCTGAGTGTGTGCCATGTTCCTGCAACAACAACATTGACGTGACAGACCCCGAATCCTGCGACAGGGTCACTGGAGAATGCACCAAGTGTTTACACAACACCCATGGAGCAAACTGCCAGCTCTGCAAACCGGGATATTTCGGCTCTGCTCTCCATCAGGACTGTCGAAGTGAGTAAGCAACACCTTGCAGCTGCATGTTACCACCAGGAAAAGATTTAATGAAATTAGGCTACAGGGAGAAGTTAGTCTTTTGAGCCAGCACAGCCAAAGGAGGCCAACAGGGCAAATATGCATCTGAGAGCAGCAAATGCATTTCTATCCAGTGATACAAATAACTGTTAATACAGCATCTGTTAAATTCCATCACTGTCATCCAAGTCTCACTACAGCTTATATTGAATTTCCCTCCTAGGAAACACTCATCTGCGAAATGAAATCACTGTTTGTTAGAAAAACAAATGTGCATTCAGCCCGTTCAGGGAGGAGGCAAAATTAAAGAAATCGAAGATAATTGTTTATCCATATTGCTAGTTGGTGCCAGCTGAGCAATGCTCAGTTAACCAGATGATCCCTTGCTGAGCTCCCAGACTTAGCAGTTGTGTTTATAAAATGGATAGAAAAAAAGACTGTTCAGGCAATTAAACAGGCTACATGGGGACACTCTGCTCATGTACCAAGTTATTGAACCTTGGTTCAAGTTCAATACCAAGTTATTGGAAATTCAAGGTAACGTTTCTTCAGTTTCGCAGTTTCAAAGACTTATTTTCACGAATGAAGATGACTGAGGTTCTAATTTCTACAGGTCAGAAAAAAATAAATAGTTTTAAGAAGCTCTTGCTCCGGGGGGTCTCTAAAACACAGTTGAAGCCCATTCCCTGCTCATTTTTGCATGATATTGGTTAGAAATGGCTTAGCAAGAGCTTTGTCTCATCTCAGGGCAGACTCTTTAACTCAGCTGGCTGACAGTTAACTGGCATTTCCCATGCTCTATAGTAGATTTATAGAGATAAATCAGCTCCTTGTTCAGCATATTTAACATTTCCTTCTAATAATATTCAAAATTCACTAGGCCTTCATTTTTTGTGCCTGTATTAAAAGCTCACAGTAAGTTAATTCAAAGCCATACTATAGTAGAATAAACAAAATGCATGAGATATTAAAAAAAAAAAAAAAAAAACCCAAGCTTACTGGAAGGGAAGCTATAACGTAGACCTCCTCTACCATCTGATTGTCCCCTGGCTGTGTGTGTTAGCATCTGCTGTAGTGATTGTCCCTCTCTTTGCAGGATGCAGGTGCAATGCTGCCGGTGTGAGCCCTGCCGCGTGCCCGGCTGGCAGCGAGCCCTGCGTGTGCCACCCGGCCACGGGGGCCTGTCCCTGCCTGCCCCACGTGCTGGGCATGACCTGCGACCAGTGCGCCCCTGGATACTGGCACGTGGCACATGGCAGAGGATGTCAGCCCTGCGGCTGCAGTCCCAAGAATTCCCAAGGTCACCAGTGTAACCAGGCAAGAAAATGATGCCCATCTCCGGGAACTGGGATGGTGGCATCTTGACATGACGTGGTCAGGATGCTCTCATAAACAAGGGTGCTTATTTCTGTCTTACTCCCTGAAAATACAAGTCTATGGTAGTTGGGAGTTGGTACATTTTGGTACAATTTAGTAGCTGAATTCCAAAATAAATCTAGAACAATATACGTAATGTATCCTCAAGATTTTAGTTACAGTGATAGATAGTTAAAACTTGGAGTGTAAAGATCAGTACTTTGCTCCGGATCAATTAAGAAATTAATCTGTTTTGCTAATTGCAGAGGGAAAAATCAATCAGATAATGGTCAGATGATGAGTTCTTGAAGATCATCTCTAGACTGAAACATTCAAACTCTTTCTTATTAGTAAATTAAAGCCATGTCTCAGAATCTATTTTGTTCTTAACAACCTTTAAGAAGATAACTGTAAGTAGCTGGGAATCTCATGAAAAAAATATATAAACTATGTTGTTTTACCTTTTGCAAAGGTAGTACCACAACAGCCCTCTTATAGGTGTATTATTATATAGGTCATAAAGCAAAGAAAAAAGAATATCTATATTCAGTCAGTCTACTTTGTGGGCAGTTATTTAATCCTGAGCTTTCGTTACAGTTTACAGGCCAGTGTCCATGCAAGCCAGGCTACAGTGGGAGACGTTGTGATGAATGTGAGGAAAATTACTTTGGCAATCCACAGACACATTGCATTCGTGAGTATTATTAGGTGGGGGGAACTGGATTAGAAACTGTGTTTAAATAAATTTATGCCTTTCATTCAATTCATGGGGAGACAGGACATACATCTAGACAGACCAGCTTTAACATTTTGGACATTTGTGTTTGTATGATGGATAAAATTGTTATAATATTTATCTATGTTGTTGCTCTAGGCAAGCAGTCTGGTTCACTGTAGCCTCAGCACTGTTTTCCAGTCTGGTCTTTAGAAATTGTTGGCACTGGTTGAAGGCTGCCAAACCAGTGTGTAATGCAGCTCTGAGAGCAACTCATAAAATATCAGCATGAGATTTCAGGTGGGATTTGTCTCACCCAGCTGTAGCTGTCTAGAAGCTGGAGATCTGAGCTCCTCTAATCACAGCAGGTGCTCCTTGTGGGCCATGCAGGGAGGTGAGTGCCTCTGAAGAACCATTTTTGTTGGATACCTATTTAGGTTGATTTGGGGATATACCCATTTCTCCGCAGCGACTGTGGAGGAGGTCAGATAACTAGCACAGATTAGATGCCTGGCTTTTAAAACTAGCTAATGTGAAATTTTGCCTTCAGTTTGTAACCAAAGAGAACCCCATCCTGATGGGCTTGACCAACAAGCACAGAGAACGTGCTTGTTTTTATTGTAGTGACATACAGGGGCTGCTTCCTGCGTGTTTTGCTCCGAGGGAAGCAACGCTCTATGCCTTTGTGTCCCCTCGCTGCAGAGTGCCGGTGTAACCGGGAGGGAACGGGCCGGCCCACATGCGACCAGGGCACCGGGGCCTGCAGCTGCCGCGCGGGCGTCACCGGCACCTCGTGCGACCGCTGCGCCCGCGGCTTCCGGAAGGAGTTTCCCTCTTGCCCTCAGTGTCACCTGTGTTTTGGTCAGTGGGATGCTGAAATTACTGCCCTGTCGCAGACTGCGCAAGGGTTAATGAGGTTCGCTGCAAAGCTGGAAGATGCAGGAGGACGAAGGGCCCGCTGTGATGCACACTTCCAAGGCTTTGAAAACACCATCACTGAGATTGAAGGAATTTTGAAACATCCTGTTCTTTCGTTGGAGACAGTTGCGGGCATCAAGGATTTTCATGCTTCTGTGCAGTAAGGACTCTACTACCCCTGTAAAGGTTGCTTAGTTGAGAAAGCTGCCTTCCCTGGTGCCCCACCAGCCATGCCCTCCACTTCAAATCCTGGTTTTCGCATCTCAGATAAGATGCTGGACCATGAATTTACAGTTTTCAGTTGATGTGTCAACAAATTAATCCATAAATATAAAAATTATTTGTCGTCCACAAGTCTATACTTATATGCTGGAACTTCACAAGTTCATCCTAAAAGTTTCCTAAATTAGCCATTACAAGTATATGGTTTTTCTCAGTTAGAAAATGATCTGTTGTCCTCAAAATATTGCATGTCTCTTCTCTCAGATCTAGTCTAAGAGCAATGTCTAAGAGCAATGTGACTTCTGTAATTTCCCTTTTAGACAAAAAGCTGCACAAATGGATCCGCTTCACAATATATTTTATGAATTTCCTGACTTTAATGGGAGAATAGAAGAGATTAGGGAAGAAGCTGACCAGCTCTATGAGCTTCTACAGCAGAAAAAACTTCTACATCACAGTTTTCATTACTTGAATCTCAAAGGTAAGGCAGACAGGGATTCCTGGAAAAAGGTGAATATTTTCCATAAAATTCTGTGCACATTTTTCTTACCACGGAATCACACAATGTTTCCCCCAAAATACCTAGATTTTAGTTTCCCTTGATATTGCAAAAATGTAAATACTAACAACATTTTTATAGTGACTTTCCAAATTCCCCTTTATTTTCAAGTGCTGTGGTTTCTAGCATCCAAAATTTCAGATGCATGTGCCAGAGCCACATCAATCTGTCTGATGAATCCTGATATAAAGTTCCAAAGCTACCTGGTTTCACAATATAGACTAAAAGATCAAAAGCTAGAAGAAAAGAAGATTTTTTCCCCCTACTTCTGACTCCTATTTCTCTTAGCAATACTTTAAAAATGTTGTGTAATAAGTGTTTGTTTAATTAAAGCTGGGAGGCATGCTGTAACTTCCTGGTGTTCCCATGAGAAAATGCGTAAGTTCATGTGGTGAGGAACAAGCTCTCAACCACCAAAAAATTGTGGAGTCAGAATTGAGTTCCTTGGCATTTTTGAAAGAATTACACCATCCATGCTTGAGCTAAGTATAGTCTCCATCAGCTGCTAATACTAATGACAATGTCACAAACTGGTTTCTGGAGAAGGAGAGAAGTGTGCCAGCTGGGACTCTTGATCAGATACTACAAGGGCAAGAGGAAGCCAACAGTGTATGTTCCACTAACTGACCTTGGAAACAGCTGGGAGAGCCTCTCAAAGATTCAGTGAGCACTGTGGATGACACAAGATAGAGGCAATGCACCTCATTGGTGAATGAAACTCCGTCTGTGTTTCATTCAAGCAAGAGAAGGATCAGCCTAAATAACATTGGAAAGCATGAAGGAAAGGTCAATGGAGTATAAAGCTGAAGGAAAGGAAGAGGAAGAAGAGAGATGAACTAAGATTGAAGGCATTTCTCCCAGGCTCAGTTTCCCAGTTTAATCATGTATTGTGTTGACTTTGAGAAAGTCAGGAAAGCGAAGAAACAATAAATCCCAGGGAGGTCAATGGATGCACAGCTGAAGCATCCGTGATGCTCTCTGGTTGCACTCCAAGCCCGCTTCACTCTTCAGGCATCTGGAGGCAGATAAACAGTTCTATAAAAGGCACACGGGGGTGTGGGGAGGGCAAGACCTTGAGTTTAAGCTGCATTTCTGGTCAGGGCCACAAGTATTCGTTGGTCCTGCTACCAAGCAGCTAGCAGCACCAGTTAGTCCCTCAACACAGCAGCAGTGTCCTGGAGAGACCTGGCCTCCTTGCCCCATCCCCAACTCAGGACCAGCAGCACATCCTTGTCGTTGTTCTGCCAACTCTTCCCTCTCCCTCCTTCACCAGCCCAAGCAAATGGCGTAGAGCAGGATGGAGGATACATCCATGTATCCCACTTGGGAGACATTTGTGCCTTAGACACATGGAAGGGAATGGGGTCTGACCTACGTCTTTGCAGAGGACTAAGCAAACCAAAGCTCAGGGCTCAGGCTTCTTCACAGGCATGCACTCAGTGCTAAGATGCTATGTTTAAAGTAAAAGAACTTGGAAATGCTACAGCTCCATCACAAAGCAAGCATGTGAAATGCCTTTAGGATATTTAATGGAGAGCTGACCCACTGTAAAATATTCCTGCGATGGAATTCTTGTATAGAAAATAATCCCTTGCTCAGATATTGTGATGCCCTTGTCAGATGTTTTGTATAAAGATCTAAATTTGTAAAAGATTTAGATTTGGTATTTCCAAGAGCTAAACCATGAAATAAATAAACCTGACTCCATGCAATAACTAAGCTCTGATGGACTTGAATCAAAGTAAGGCCAAGTGTTTTAGTGCCTTGTTCAGTGATTGACTTCGGTGGAAACTGAGCTGGTTACCAACACAGAGAGAGATGGATGTTCATCAGTGACCTTTACAGCCTTTTCTATTGCAAATCATCAGTTCTGGCTTATGGCACGTATTTCTCCCTAGGGCCTTGGGAAATCTGTGAGTTCACTGGAGGTCTGTGCAGCCTTGACAGCAGCAACTTTAAATTATAGTTTTCAAAGGACCATAGTTCTTTCTTTAGGCTATTAATCTGCAAACAAAATGTGATTTTCTTCACCCTTTTTGAGTCTCTGCTTAAAGGAAGGCTTACACTAAGCAAACAAGAAACACCTTTGATGGAAAGCATTTGTTGCCTAGAGTAGAGGTTTGGGCAATGGGAATATGCATCAACTCTAAGATTAAATTTTTCCAAAACCAAGTGAAATTTATAAGCTCACATTTATATTCTAAATTTTGGCCTCAATTCCACCAACCATTTAACTTTTGGGTGCTGAGTAGCAACAGGACAAATGCTTTCATGAGTCACAGAATGGTCCTTTCATTTTTATGAGTGACAGAAGCAGTTCTCCTCCCTGAACCTCAGAACAGCAAAAATGATGGGAGCTTCTGTCAAATCAGTAACTGTGGGAATGGAGGGACTACTGAGGATTACAAATCAATAGTAGTTTATATCATTAATCAGATTCCCTTTATGCTTTTGTAACTTCCACTGGCTTCCCATGTACTGTGGGCTCTGAAATGACATAGGATCCACTGCATTTACATCCATCTGAGCTGGTTTTATGGTCATCAACAGCTGTTTCTATTTAGCAGCTGGGTGAATGAGAGATTGAAAAACCTGACTGAGAAGGTTACAGTTTATGTCCTTCCTTGCTATTCCAGATCAAGCACTAGCGACACAAACTCAATTCAATTCAATTAAATATAGCAATTTAATATAACAAAAATGCAGTCTGTACTAAACATTATTTCTGTTCCTATAGAGGCTGTCAACCACATTAGGAAATACTTCGAAATATCGTTGTTGGCTGAAAAGAAAACCAGTGGGACAACCCCTATTGTAAGATATTCTGAATACACCAGAAAGGGTGTACTTGCTAAGCTGGACAATTTTACCCTCAAAGAAAGAAATGTGCTGGACCAACTCAAGATTATCAACACCTCTGACATCCAAACCTTGAATGAAAAGGTAGGTGGCTATGGATTTTTAATGGGAGCTAAATAAAAATCTCCTTCTAGTTGTTCCTAGTGATTTCTGTTTTAAAAGGATGTTTACGTGTGTCTCAAATCTGGAAAATGTTCCCTGGCACAGACATGCAGCTTTCTTAGAAACAGCTGTTCTGGTCAGGTGCTAGCGACCACCACCCTCCTGGGAGCCATTCCTCCCACGCAGAGCTGGCACAGTTATTGAAGCACTCTCTAGGCTCGAGAGCACCTCAGGGTAAAGTGTAAGCCCTAAACATCATCATCTGCAGCTTAAACTAAGCTGAGAACTTTGCCCTAGAGTGGATGAGGGGTCCTCACATGCTCCTCTGCGTCACCTGTGGGATGGGAAGGGATAATAACGTCCTGCTAGGCAGTAATCAGAGCATCTTCAGCCAACGCTGCCAGACCAGGAAGAGAAAATCTGTCTAGACTATCCATGTGAAAATATCTAACTGTTTTATCTCTATAGGAACAATTCAACCATTCTTTTTTCTTTTTTGAGTCGTGCATAACTGAGTACATTTGTACCCTGTGCCTCTTTTATCGTTCATATGTGCCACAGTTGTACCCAAGTGTGAGACGATCACACTGGAGAGCATGGTGCCTAAAATGGACTTAACTGGACCAAAGATGAAAAAGTCCATTATGCTCCTGAAGCTCCAGGGAAGGATGAAATATCAAGATCTTTGGCCCTACAGGGCTGCTGGACCCTAGTTTTCCCACAGTTCTTCTCAAGGCTTTGTTAGTGTCCATTTTCTTCCCAAAGACTTCAAAGAGCCAGCATCTGGCTGGACTACATCGTAGACAATAGATACAGGGTAACCCAAACTGCTCATTACGTCCACGACCATGGACCTGTTAGGATGCAGCCTGAGAATTCTTAGTGACATTTGGCACGTAAACAAGGTCTCCTTCCCACCAACGTACCCCAAAGTAGCATTAGTCTTTTTCTTTGATAGCAGGTTGTTGGTATCAAAAAAGAAAAAAAGGCTATTTTTTTTTCATTGGCTATATGTATAAATATAGATATAAAGCTATGTGCATTTTGCCAGATGAATCATTGCTGAGTGCCTGAGTAAGACCTGCCTGCTGGTGATGTGGTACCATGTTGTGTGAGAGGGGATGATCTGGATCCTTTAGGACATATCCATGGGCTGGATACGGCCAGGGGACAATTCAGCATTTCATTTTTGTCATAGAGGAGTGAAGTGAATGTTTTAGTCCAGCATATGGAGCCCATGTGGGTCTTGCAAGGAGATGCTTGAAGCCATGGGTTGCCATTGCATCCTTTAAGTCAAGGAAGGGGATCTTTGGAGAGTTCGGACTCTCAGGGGAAATCTCCATATGAATTCACTGTCCATGTGACATTAAACATCTTCCTTGCTGAGAACCACAGAGGAATCTTGACACAAAGCTGTTGTTTGCCACAGGTCTGTGGGGCGCCAGGAAATCAGCCGTGTGTTTCAGCTCTGTGTGGAGCAGCTCGGTGCCGAGGCGGGCACGGGCTCCAGCAGTGCCATGGCCCAGGCTGCAGGGGAGCTCGTCCTCGCGCCACAGAGGCGTCCAGGAGAGCCAAGGAGACTGCTCTGTCCTTACAAAACCTGACTAATCAGCTGCAGGATCCCGAGAATCAGGTGCTGTATCTCAAATGTGCGTTTGTTCGGTGAAATGGATGGAGGATGGGGAATGGGACAATCCCTTCATGGAGAACAGTGTCTTGTCCATAAGCGCACTTTTGCTAAAATGCTCAAAATCCAGGGAACTCAACACGTCCTGTGGTCCTGCTGCTTTCACCAAGATGGCTCTTTCTCTGCTGCTTTGTCCCATTAGGGAGGAGAAGCTGCCTGGAGCACAGAGATGAGATGCAGAAAAGCCCAGCTCACTTCCAGAACATATTGCTGATGTTGAGCAAGGTGCTAAGGATGGGATTCCTACCACCTTGCTTCATGGCAGGGGACCTGGCAGGACCCCCCTACCCTGGCAGGACCTGCCTCTACCCTCATGTTGGAATTGGGAGAAAGAAACAGGCAGCTCCAGCTCTTTCTTCTCCATATCAGACACATACATGAGGATGCAGTAGTCACTACTGGAAGATGATTTTTCTTTCCACTCTGCAAAGGTGGCTGTTTTAGATTTTATGTGGCTAATTTGCAGGCAGCTAAAATTAGGAAAGATGCATAAAAAAATCCCAATCCTAGAAAAAATGCCCTTGCTCCTTTGACAGCAGCTCCTTTGACAGGATAGACTATGTCCCAATCCCACAAAAACAGCACAATTCAGTACTTGAGGGAGCTAGGTCCTGGTTTCATAAGGGACTAGTTACTAGTTATACTTTACTCTTCCCTACAACATTAAACTTAAGTCTATATAACTCTATATAACTTCTTTTTTTTTTTTTTTTTTTTTTTTTGCTTGCTGTTAAAGAATTTTGCAAATAATTTAAATCCAAAGCTTTGTGCCCCTTCCTTGCTAACATTTAGAAGAGCATCAAGTGATGGGCTGCTCCCCTTTGCTTCACAGTAGCAGTGGAAATAACTCAAGCGAAGTGTGGCCAACACAACATGTGCAAAGGAAGCAAAGCAGACAAATCCCAAAGCAGAAGGAAAGACAGTTTGTTCTCATTAGCCATCAGAGATGACGCTTGTTGCAATTTCAGGCAAAAAAAAAAAAAAAATCCAACAGAAATGTAATTCTGCTGTGAATTTGTATTGCCCTTCCAGGGTGCTTGGGCATCCATTGCCTCATTTTAAAATACACATGAGAACTCGTTACAGCTAATGGGCTTAGAAATTCCCCTTGAACATAATTTTAACAGTAATTCCAAAGTGAAGAGGCAAATGAATTAGGTGCCTTTCTCTTAACTGGATCTGTTACTCACACAGTGTAAAACTGCAAGAGAAAATAGCTGCCAGTGTCTCCCTTTAGAGAGAGAAGAGGTTGTGGTTTAGTGATATTTAGAGAGAAAGAAAAATGCTTGGTTTAGGCTTTGCTCCAAGGCCAGATGAAGATGGTGATATGACAACTTCTGGAGTTCCTGAAAGTCATTTCCAAAGCCAGTCCATCTTTTCCATCCCTCCTGGGATCGAGCGATTCCATCTGAGAATCATATCAAAATTATTTTAGTGTCAGAATTCAGCTGGCCAGGCAATGTGTGTAATCTCCAGAGGCAGGCACTGCTATTTCTAAAAATATTTCCAGGTTGAAAGCCTCAGAAAAATGGCAGAAGACACCAAGTTGAAAGGCTCACGATTAAATGGGGAACTAGAGAGAGCTAAAAATCGAATTCAAGTGGACCGGGAGATCACTAAGGAGTTCATCAAAAAAGTAAAAGTCTTCTTATTAGGTAAATATGAAAAAAATGCACTTTCTAACTCATTTTCTTTCATATATTCCATGATACACAGAAAAAGTTTAGTTATGTACCTATCTAACTTCTTGGCTGCCTCCTGATCTGAGAAATCTTTTTCAATTTCTTTTTTTTATAGTTTTCCTTTCTCCCAGAAGACATTATTTTGTATGACTTTTCCCATAGATCTGTTGAGTCATCTTCATTTTCTTAATATGAAACATTCGTGTAATTCCCTCGGTTCCTGGTTGATCTGAATGAAGTGCCACTGATGTAATTTCATGTAATATATAATGTCCAGGCATGATCCAATACATCCTCGAATTGTTATTCCATCCCCTTCCTCCAGCCCCATAAATAGAAGCTCTAAGGAGGGAGCGTGGGAATTCGGATACAAAGGGACGTACGGCTCCATCTTCTCCATAAAGCTGTAACTTGAGGAATCAAAGGATTCCAGAGGAACTTTAGCTCCCATTAAAAATAACAAAACAACCATACATACCTAAAACTTTTTCCACCCTATGAAAAAAAGTTGTAAAGAGATGGACCCTAAGATTTCTTTTAAGAAATGTGCATAAAAGGAGGGTTAAAAATGTAAAATATGTATTTTTTTCATCTCTTGAATGCAGCCCATTTCATAATTTTGTAAGGACTGCAGTCCTTACCTTTTGGCAGTTTTGGAGGAAAATCTTCCTTTAAAGCCTTGAAATTCTCCGATTTTATTTGGTAATGACTGCCAAATCCATTCTTTTGGCTCATCTTTTATGTTTTGTAGTATTTTTGCTTTGTAAACCAGAATTTATTAACTGTAGCAGCTTGTTACAGGTGCTTGCAGATGCATTAAATCTGCTCTCCTGTACATTGACATATTTCCGCAGCAAATAAATCTCAAGCATGTGCTTCCCTTTGCCCTGTAGATGCCTATTATTTAATTCCTGGTAAGTTATTTTGCAGCATGAATTCCAACATTTAGTGTGTGTTCCAACTGCTTGGTCAGCCAAGGTTTTGCCTGTAGAGGAAGGGAGTACAACGGGAAACCATGATGAGGCTTTGCAAGGCTTGAACTGCTCTAGCCCAGTGTGTCCGTGCACAGGGGGAGCTCCGAAGAAATAATCTGCAAGGGGACTTAGCAGAATACAGTTTTTCCACTGCAAATTCTCATCCTATGTCAGTGTGACCCAACTTTCCTATTAGGCAATGAAGGAGCCACTTTTCAGACCTGGTGGTGGTGGCCGAGGAGAAACGGGCTCGGACGCGTCTCACTGCGCCCTGCGCCGAGCTAAACCCTGCTGAGGTTCACTGCTAAATCCCCGTTTTAATAACTCTCTTCAAAGCAGCTCCAAGCCCTTATTTTTAGACAGCTCTGACAACACTAATAGCAGTACCTGGAGACATAATATTAAATTACAAAATGCTGGGGATAAATCTCTTACCCCCTTGCTGTGCTTGTCAGCTTTGTTCTGCCACGTCTCAATGGGTAGACAACCGTAATGGTCATTTACCTTCCACTGGGAAATTTCAGAATGTTTCAGAATGCTCTAAATTCTGTTTTCCTTTTTTTTCTTTTTTTTTCTTTTTTTTTCTTTTTTTTTTTTTAAGATGAGAGTGCACCTCCAGAGGACATCGAGAAGGTGGCAAACTATGTTCTGCAAATAAACCTTCCCCTGGCCCCGCAGGAGCTTGCAAACATGCTTGACAAAATCAGAAACCTTATGAGCTACTGTGAGAAGTACGAACTGAACGTGACTAAGAGAAACAGAAAGATGAAAGAAGCTCTGAAGCTGCTGGTGAAGGCAAAAGAAGCCGAGTGAGTAGAATATTCTCTTACGGATGGGCTAAATCCAGCTGAAATTGCACTGTGTGCAATAATGCTGCTCCATACCCCAGGCAGTTAAAAATCCTAATAACACTGGGACATAATAATAATAATAATGGAATAACACTGGAAAGAAAACTCAGATTAGAGGTGGTTTTGTATGGCCCCTTCTGCAAGGGCCTCTCCAGCAGCCACGAGCCGTGACCGCTCGAGCTGCACAGAGCTGTGGGCTCTGAACTCGCTGAACTCGCCAAGCAGAGCACAGGAAACCAAAGCAGCCACTTACCCACACGTGGGACCTGCTGGATCATTTGATCTGCTTCCCTGTGAGGTTTGGATAGGGCTGCTCGAGGGAGGGGATCCTGCCCCTCTGCTCAGCTCTGGGGAGGCCGCACCTGGAGTATTGGGGGCAGCTCTGGGCTCCCCAGGACAAGAGGGACGCGGAGCTTCTAGAGAGGGTCCAGCGGAGGGCAACGAAGATGATGAAGGGACTGGAGCATCTCTCGTATGAGGAGAGACTGAGTGAACTGGGCCCTGTAGAAGAGAAGGTTGAGAGGGGATCCGACCAATATGTCTATGTACCTGAGGGGAGAATGTAGGGAAGAAGCGGCCAAACTCTTCTCAGTGGTGGCCAGTGACAGGACAAGGGGCAATGGGTGCAAGTTGAAACCCAGGCAGCTCCATGTGCATGTGAGGAAGAACTTGTTTGGTGTGAGGGTGCCCGAGCCCTGGCCCAGGCTGCCCAGGGAGGCTGTGGAGTCTCCTTCTCTGGAGATCTTCCAAAGGTGCCTGGATGCCGCCCTGTGCCCTGTGCTGGAGCAGGGGGTTGGACTAGGTGATCCCTAGAGGTCCCTTCCAGCCTCAACCATTCTGGGATTCTGTGATAAAGAGCCAAGAAGAATTGGGAAAAAATATGTTCTCCTTTCAGGTGAGCTTTCCATAACAACAGTACCCCACCAGGTAACCAGCTACCATCATCATTAATCTGTTATCCAATATATTCACACATAAGATCCCTTGCTAGCATTTTGCTTTGCCAGCTGCTATGCACAGTTACAAATAACTGCCACAATTTGTAATGGATGGTGTTTGGACTCAAGGGAGCATTTCTACAGATGAGCGTGGGTGGAATTGAAATGTCTCCTTTCTTCAGCCTCCAAATTCTTTTTTTTTTTTTTTTTTTTTTTGCTTTAGCAAATCAGCAAAAGCTCTTCCACCTGTGAATGAAATTAATAACACACTCAAAAATGTTGTAAACTCCCAAGGACACTCCAGAAGAACTTTCAAAAACCTAAATGAAAAGATACAAGAAATCAGAACACAAATCTCACAGGTATCTTGCTGGACATCTTTTAATTTCTTCATTAGCTACATTTTAGAAAAGAAAAAGTCTCTAAGTTTCCCCAACGTAAGTGTAAAAATAAACAAAAGCAGAATGTGGCTCAGTTATGACCTCAGCTCCATAGCATCTTGGGGGCTCCTCTGCTCATCAGCTGACCTTAATCTCTCCTTCGTGGCTGAGGTCTGTAGGTTGGAGGGACGTGGCATAAAAACGCAGCTTCCAATTGCTCTGTTTTAGGCTGAGACTCAAGTGAACAAGACAAGCGATGAACTAAATGACTTCTCAGCAAAACAATCTCGGATGCAAGATGAAATTGCCACGTTGCAGATGGAAATGATGAAGAATAGGAATCAAGCTACCAATGCCAAAGCAGGGGCAGAAGCAGCACACAAGCAAGCTCAGAATATCAATAATGTAAGCTATTCTGTCACATGTGAAAGAAATAGATATATATATCCCTTTTATGCCTTGTACTTTTGATTCAGCAGTGCGATTGTGTTACATTTCTCCCCTCAAAACTGTGTTGAAGTTTTGAGTATGCCACCCAGTGTAAAATCCCATGGGTTAAGAATCATTTCTTTTAAGGTATTCTAGCAAGTAACAATTCTGTTGTTGAAGCCTGAATGAAAGAAACACATCCATTTGTCTGACTACTCCATGACATTTTTCCTAGCTCTGTGTATAAGACTCATAGTCACCATGGGCACCAACAAACACAACAGAACAACCCACAAAAACAGATATTAAAATATGTGTGATGGAAGCAGTCTGGCCATTCATTTAGTGCCATTCTTCAGCAAAAACAGCTGTGGGAATTGCACAGAGCCCTGCGTTGGCTAGGTGCTTTGCAATAGCTCTGGTTTTTGTGAATGCACCGAGGCTGCTAGAAGTTCCTAGGGTGACACGTGAGGAGAACCCGGCTCCTGCAGCTCACCAGCGAGAGCAGGACTAAGCTGACGGCTTATGAGAAATCCAGTAGTAATCCCAGGTGCAGCCTCTGTGGAAACCTAAATCAATATGGGTGTGAGGGTGCCAGAGCCCTGGCACAGGCTGCCCAGGGAGGCTGTGGAGTCTCCTTCTCTGGAGATCTTCCAGCCCTGTGCCCCGTGCTCTGGCTGTCCCTGCTGGAGCAGGGGGTTGCACTAGATGAGCTCTAGAGGTCCCTTCCAACCTCGACCATTCTGGGATTCTGTGGGTGGCATCAGCCTTGAAATATCATTACTGCTAAAAGTGGTAAAAAAAAAAAAAAAAAAAAAAAAAAAGTAATAATGGCTAATTTATTAAATTTGAATTAAGGCTCATGGCAAAAATGAGATTTACAGAAAAGCTGTATCAAAAGAAGTAAACACAGCATAAGCCTTGAAAAGCTTAAATGAAACTTCCTTTACATCCTCATCCCCCTTATGCTTTGGTTCGCTCACCTGGCAGTTTGCTTTAATTGAATTCTGTCAGGTTTGGGGAAGCTTTGTTCAGTGTATACTCATTGCACTGAGTGTAATTGTGTACACTCATGTACACTCATTACAGAGGCATGAGTATCTTACATCTTACATCTTTTTTTAAGATTTCAGACAATGAGATATTTAAAGTTGGTTCAAGCGGGATAAGCAGCAAGGTAGAAAAATCTCTTTCAGGATGCCAGATTAACAGTAAGATGCTACATTTTCTTAAACTATGCAATGGGTTTTTGTTACAGGAATTTGCTGACGTTAAAAGAAAGTATGGCATTCTTCAAGAGAAGCTAAAAGCCAAAGGACCCCCAAAGGTAACTTTAGAGAAGGTGAAACAGTTGAAAGAAGAAGCAGAAAAACTGGCTGAAGAGACTGAAAAGAAAATCAAGAGAATAACAGGTGGTGTTTGCACTTCCATAGCAAGCAGTGGAAATTGTTAAAGTCATGTATTAAACTGGAATTTTTGTCTACAGACACTAACTGCCTCAGTTCACCTGAAATCAGTTTAAAACTAATGAAAACCCCTGCTCAAATCTACCTGAACTGTTTAAAAGTAGCTAAATTGATTTGGCTTATGCACATTTTTGGATATAAATTGGTTGCTATTAGCAGAGTTTAAGAAGTGCCCACAAAAGGACTTGCAGTGATTTAATTGCAGCAATTTAAGAATGTGAAAAGTGCAAAACTTGCCTAACTTGTCTAAGGCTAACCTGTCTAAGGCAGCGGACTCTGGAAAATTTAGCTGCAGATTTAGCTGGCAGCTTTGATTTACATCCTTGCTTTGGGCGTTCGGACTTTAAATCATTCCCCTGTTCTCCATCTGCACTTGCATTACCTGAGCGATGGCTCCTGCTAATAGAGACCTGCAGGCAGCCTTTCTGCACCAGCCTGTCCTTGTTCCCTTTCAGGGATAGCCCTGAGCAACAGCAGGAAAAGAAAAAACAGGTATAAATATTGGCTTGTTTGAACGAGTAGAGAAGCATCCATGTCCCCAAGTGGGCAGCAGAGTGGAGCTCAGACACGTGTCCCAGGCCCATCAGTCCAGCCTAGTGGCTTCCTCCACATGCTCCGTGGAGATCTCGGATCATCCGCACAGGACCTGCTGAGCTATGGGATAGGAGAGACCACAGCGCCTTCAACACAGCCCGACAGGCAGGTTGGGACCATCATTGGAGGAATCAAGAGCCAAATTCCACCTTGTCTCCTGTAATTGCACCCAGGGGACCTAATTCTGCCTGTAGGGCAGCTCTGGGCTTTTCCATGGAGCATCCTTGGGCCTGGGATGAGACTTGACATCAGAACTTACTGCATCATTTAAACAGAACTGAAACAGAAGTTTCCATCCTGGGAGGAAATTCTTTGGGTCAGCATCTCAAAATTTGCTCATTTTTTGAGCACATAGGTTGAAAAGAACTTTTCATCCCAGCCATTCCATTCCAAATGCCCAAGTGCATTGGAAATAATGAATATGAATGAATAATGTGGTCTTGACTCATTATCAGTATGCTCTCATTTGTGGAGCTTCACAGGGACCAGCAGAGTCACCTCTGTAAAAGAAGGTGATATAAATCTAAACTGTCCAGGCTTTATATTCCTCAATGGACACACTGTTCCTCTGAGGGTGGGGTTTTTTTTTAATTTTTATTTTTTTACTTAAACCAAATGCTTAAGAGCTCAGTGTCCTGGCCCATCACAATCAATGGACAAAAGCATATGCTGAGAAATGAACTGCTTTAAATGGATTTCTTTAAAAATCCAGAAGCTAGACTTTTCAGCTACTCAAAGAACCCTTCCCATTTGAATGGGCTTGCTTCCTTTAAAACTGATTGGGGAAAAAAAATGCTGTTAAACCCTGGGTTTTATTTTCACAACCAATATGCTCACTGTGAAATATCACTTTACTTTTACAGATTTGGAGAAGAAACTGCAGGACCTGAATCAAACCAAGCAAGACAAGGCAGAGCAACTCAGGCAACTGGAGAAACAAGTGATAGCCATCAAAAATGAAATCACTGAGCAGGAAAGCAAGTATGCAACCTGCAAAAGTTAGGGGCTGAGCAGTCCATTGTGTCAGGCAAGTCTGAAATCTGTGCTTGCCACCTCCTGAACTTCCCAGCACGGAGTGGGAAGTTGTCCTCTGTAAATACCTCTGAAGGTGCATATGGTATTTTGGCATCAGGAACAATGTAACTTCCTCTTGTTTTTCAGTCCAGTTTGAGTTGGTATGAAAATAGGAAATGCTTTCTAATAAAACACCTGATTGACTAGGCAGGATGCAGCCTCTGAGGGAACTCTAAAATACCCTCTTGTCCCGAGTCTAAGGGAATGGAAATGCACAGAGAGGTTGCACCATACAGCTAAAGTGATGGTCTGTAGAAGAGACTTTGCTCGACGTCCCCATTGACAGCCAGTGTGGTCCTCGGGGTGCTGTCCTTGCCACCGTGAAGGGTCCCTCACTTCTGCTGAGGTTCCTCAGGGAGCCAGGCCCCTGTGGTGCCCTCGCTGAACACACACACAGCTCCGTGTCACTGGGGCCTGATTGAACGGAGGCAAATTTCCCGGTGCCCACTGGATGGCAGTGCTCAAATGTTGAACACCAAAGCCCACTTTGAGATGTCTCTTTGCCAACCCATATTTCCAGGTGGTATTTTTGCGTGTTTTGGCCAAATTCCCATTTAGGATAATTTATTCAACCCATGTGAAAATAAAAGAAGCAGCAGTTTAGAATGTCAGGCATTAAAGATGTCACAGCTCTTAGCAGGGTATTCCTGATTCTCCAGCTGTTCTGCACGGAGCAGTTCTTCCAGGGGAAATTTTAGGCAGGCAGCTCATTAGGGAGAGAGCCATAAATTTTGAACATCTGCCTCCCCTGCCCTTCCCTGCCTGCACACGTGCAGCATTTCACAGAAGCTGGGATTCACTGAGGTGCTTCTTGCAGTCACAAAGAACACGGCAGCAGCCCTTAATTTTTGTTCATTAAGGCTTACATGTTTTATTTTTATTCAGGAAAGGAGGCTGGAGGCACTTACGAGGCTGTAGATGCTAGTAAAGGGCTAAGGTTTATAAAAGACTGAAGGGAAGGAGACACCATTTTCAAATTCCTATGTGTCTTATTGCGTGTTCCTGCCCCAAGCTGAACACATCAGCGCTGGCCTTTCCTCCGTGCAAAGCAGTCACGTAATCCTCACGGTTTTATCCATTTCATTATTTCATCAATAATCACGATGCCTCACGGACCCGGGGCTGGACGTCCCCGTCCGTCCTGCACCTCCTGCAGCTCCCAGGAGGATCCCAGCACTGCCCGGACCCGCAGCAGCCCCCGCTGCATCTGGAACACGGGCCGTTCCCCACAGCTGCAAGTCGGAACGCCAGCAGCGTGTGTCAAACAGCGCTTATCTAAAAGCAGGCTTTGTTTCAGTCCATCTGGAGGAGATAAGGCCTCCCTAGGTACCACCTGGCCTTTAGGAGCGGCATTTGCAGGGGAATTGCTGGCCTGGAGGAGGCCCCAGGGATATTCCTGCAGCCCAGACCCACTGTGCTCGGGGCAATGTGCTACACGCATTAGCCATACAACAGTGTCCATTGTGAAAATGATGGAACCAAATTATTACCTCGATATAATCTGACAAAGACACCTGAATGCCAGTACACACGTAGTCTGCGCTTCAGCTTTTTCTCAATTTTAGCACTTGAAAACAATTATCTGTGAGGTGCAAGGCTTCTTTCTAAGACACTAGGCTGTAAACAAGGACACACATATGTTAGACTGATCCTGGCACAACTAAACAAGATCCTCGGTTTAAAACAGAGGATTAATCCTAAAACAGAGCACCTCGGTTTTAGTCAGAGAACTCAAGTCATTAAGCTGCTCACAGGCATCCGTGCAGCTCTACGGGATGGGAACCCAAGACAGGTAAACTGAAGCTCTATTCCAATCCCAATTGACTACAAAACAAAACTATTTCCTTCAGAGCTCTAAAAATCTAAATTCACAGGCAAGGAGTTCAGGATTTTCTTCCCCAAGCCAGCTGTGAGCTGAATTTGTCAGGGTGATAGTTGCCACGTGGCTTTTGCTGAGCCGCACGTATGGAAAGGCTGTAAACACAAGGGGTTAAACAGGCCTGGCCAGAGGAGACCTCTCTATGGGAGGAAACACAAAACGCTGAGAGAACAGCAGGAACGGGAAGCAGGAGGCCGGCAAGGAGCCCCACATCGGACACCTTCCTCCGAGTGTGGTATGAGCCCAGAGCCAGCAGACCCGACCCCATCAGGGGCCACAGGACAATTTTGTGACAATTCTGAGGTTTGAAAATACGCCTCATTCCTCAAGTGGCACAAAATCTTCCGAAACAATTTTGAAAACCTGGCTTGTGTAAGGACGCTGCATCTGGGTCCCAAATAACCCATTTTTATTTCTCCTCGGCCCCTCTCTTGCCCTCAGAAGTGACTTTGCAAAAACATTATCGCAAAAGTTACTGGAATCACTGTATTTCAGCAGACCACTTTGACTTGAAAACCGTTTAGTCAAATGACAAGTAACACAAAATCAAAGATACACATAACCAGTGCAGCAGGGGCCGGTTCAGCCAGGACGGGCCGATTGCCCGGATGCCTTTAACGGAGCGGCTCTTCCGTCGGCGCCTCCCGCTCCGGTTTAACCTCTCGCTGGGGCTCTGCTTGTCCCTCCATCCATCAGACGAGAGGGAACGCGCTCACCTTCCTCGCGGGCTGTGTGGGAGACAGAGTGCGGCGCGTCCCACTCGGCGCCCCAAAACTGGGGGTAAAGCGTTCTGGAAGGACAGCGACCCAAGAGAGTGTCCATGGGTGTCCCATGTGCTTTCACATGGGCAAACCCACACGTTCCCCCCAATACACACTCATTATTCACTTTTGTTTATTATTTATTTACCACTGAGCTTCCCGCTGGTGCCGAGTGGGCTTTGTTGCCCCGTGCCCAGGTCCAGGTGCTCCCGCCGCAGCCTGGGGGATTCAGTGACCATGGGAAGGGCCGGAGGAGCCGGCCGCGAGCGCAGCCCCTCAAGCCGTTCTCGACGGCTTTGCCTAGGGCACAAGGGAGGAAGATGGACAAGTTCAAACCACTCGGATGGGCACCCGCCGGGAAGCCGTGCTACTGGAAGCACGGATACAAACAGGGAATATTGCGGGCTGATCCGCAGGGCACCGGGGCGCAGCGGTGACCTGGCTCTGCCAACCTGACACGGAGGCGGCCGATTCCCTTTGCTCCCACCCTTGTCCTCCTGCTGCAAGGCGGGATTGGGGGAAAAACCCCTTCTTGCACCATTCCCCCACAGAAGGGAGAGGAAGGAGCGGGACCCCAAAGCAAGTCCCCGGCTGCCCCAAACGCGCTCCCAAGGCCGGGGGCAGAGCCCAAAGCGCCGCCCGGGGCTGCGGCCGCCCCGGTGCCGCTGAGGGGCCGCGGGCCGCAGCCCCCCCCGCTCCACGGGATCGCC